TTCTGTATTTTTAGTAAAGACAGGGTTTCTCCATGTTGGTCAGGCTGGTCTTGAACTCCTGACCTCAGATGATCCACCCGCCTCGGCCTCCCAGTGTGTTGGGATTACAGGCGTGAGCCACCACTGCCTGGCAAATTCAGCAAATATTTATATACAAATCTCTAGGCATGGCAGGCATCAGGGTGAATCTTGAACGACATAAAAGTTCCCCATCACACAGCTCTATGGCCCCTCTACCCACTGGAAGGCTCGCGTTCGACGGTTTAGTAACTACTGACACCTTTGCCTTGATCCCTGAAGAACAATCAGGTAGAAGGCACTATCACAACCTGTGCCATCTGGGAGCTGCTACACGTTCAGTGACAAATTCAACGAGCATTAAAACGTATCGCTATAAGCGTCATGCATCAAAGACTTGTTTCTGCCAGAGATAAAATTAGTAGTTTCTTCTAAGGAGGAAAGCGAATCTCTTTCTAAACCAATTAAACAGCTCAGTTTTCAAAAAAGAAAAGCATCTACAATACAACTATAAGACGCAATGTAGCCTGCCTGGTGTGCATTTATACTATGTCGAGGTTCATAGAAAATTCTGGAAACAAGGCTGTCCTTCAAGTCATGTAAGATGTCTCCTCATAAGCCTACAGTCAGGGACTCACGTCCACTGTCCTCAGCCCGGGCTGTAGAAACAACGTGAACACTCTTCAAACAGAGGCCAGGGTCTCATCCCAGCCCGTTTGGGTCAGCTAAGATTGACAACTACTGACAAAAACACTCCTGTTTTCTCATTTCCTGGCATAAATGAGTAAGCAGCGATATGACATCTACTCCCTGGCCGGGGTTGGTAAGCCCACTTTCGCTTGGGCGCACCAGCACCCAGCCCCACTGAGTGCAGACCAATCGCCTATCCAGGCTGCATTCCAGTCAGCTCGGCGCAGGCACAGGCCAGGCACCACAGACCGTGTTTAATTCAAACATAAGCTAGCAAACTACAACCAAAGTGGCACCTCTAGACTTCTCCAGACAACAAGTGGACTTGCTATGGAGAGAAAGGATTTAAAACCTAGGCCCAGCGGAGAATGTTCAGGGTATGGAGCTGTGCTGTGTGACGCTCTGACGCGGTTTCTCATTCCCACGCACACCAAGCGCAAACTCCGATGTGGGAGATGGGTCCCTGAAGGACTCCACTCTGGAGGGGTGTCCGTGGGGCGGGAGGCTGTCCAAGGGGGGATTCAGGACATACTGCACTCCATTTTGCTGCAAACTAAAAACTGCTCTAAAAAGCAAAGTCTACTGGCTGGGCGCGGTGGCTCATGCCTGTAATCCCAGCACTTTGGGAGCCCGAGGCGGGCGGATCACGAGGTCAGGAGTTTCTGCCTGGCCAACATGGTGAAATCCCGTCTCTACTAAAAATACAAAAATTAGCTGGGCATGGTGGCGCGCGCCTGTAATTCCACCTACTCGGGAGGCTGAGGCAGGAGAATAGCTTGAACTCAGGAGGTGGAGGATGCAGTGAGCCGAGATCGCACCACTGCACTCCAGCCTGGGAGACAGAACAGAGCGAGACTCCGTCTCAAAAAAAAAAAAAAAAAAAGTTTATTAAAAGCAAAAAACTCCTGAATACCAAACCAAATAAAACCAGGCCTAAACTGTATGAAAGCCAGACTGCCCTTAAATACAATATCAGAACATCCACTGTCCTGTGGCAGTTTAGAAGTAAAAGGTACCCCACGGAAATGACTAAATCCTCTGAAATTATCTTTAAAACAGACCCAATCCCTCCAGTAATCGGCCAAACTGTTCCCTGACCTGAGCCGTAAGAGATAACCTGATATGCATAATTTACAGGATGCCACACACAGAACAACTGAAACATTTTTGCAGTAACTATATGACAGCAGAAATACTGTAACAGAGCAGTCCTGAAAAGATCAACCAAGCCCGAAGCAGCCTGGAACTTCCAAGTGGTCACAGTCCCGAGGGGCGCGCAGTTAACCCAGCACAGCCGGCTCTGCCCGCACTCGCCCTCCAGGCTGCACGGGGCCGCGCAGGTGTCACCGCGCCTAGGTCCAGAGGCGGCTGACTCGGTTCGGCAGGCCAGGCGGCGTCAACAGAGAAGCGGTTTCACCCTCAGCCTGGACCCTCGGTGAGAAGAACGCCAGCGACTTCCTGTGGAGCTCGGTGTAGGGCCCGGCTGGAGAACCTGAAGGCCAGGAGTAGGGAGGCAGGGAGGTGGGGGAATGCGGAACAGGTGGAGGCCAGGGGAGAGGTTGGGAAGGCAAGGGGAGGCCCAGAGAGGTGGAGGCAGAGGAAGGGGACGGGGAGGCCGGGCAGGGAGGCCTGAGAAAGGGGGGGAGGGAGAGGTGAAGGCCTGGGAAGGCCAAGGCGAGGGGAACAGGTGGAGACCAAGGGAGAGATGGAGGGAGATGGGGGAGGGGCGGTGGAGCCAGAGAACACGGAGGGGGAGGCCGGGCACGGAGGTCTGGGACAGGGAGGTATGGGGTGGGGAGCAGGTGAAGGCCTGGGGGAAGGAAGCGGAGTGGGGGAGGCCACGGGAGAGGTGGGGGAGGTCCAGGGGCGGTGGAGGCTAGGAGAGGGAAGCCGAAAAGGATGAGGCTGGGGAGAGAGCGAGCCGGGGTTGGGGGCAGGAGGAAGAGAGAGAAGGGGGGGCCGGGGGATGCCAGGGAAAAAGGCCGGGGGCAGAGGGAGGCCGAGGAGAGAAAGGAGTGGGGCCAGGGGGAGGCCGGGGAGAGAGAGGAAGACGGAGGAAGTAGTGGGAAGCCAGGGAGAGCGAGGCGGGGGGCAGGGAGAGGCCGAGGAGAGAGAGACGAGGGGCGAGGTGAGGCCGGGGAGAGAGAGACAGAGGAAGGGGGAGGCCAGGGAGAGAGAGGGAAACCAAGCTTGGGGGGGCGGCCGAGGAGAGAGACCGAAGGGCGAGTGTGGGGGCGGCCGAGGAGACAGAGGAAGGCTGAGGGGCGTAGGGGGGCGGAGGAGGGAACAGGTGGAAGCCAGGGGCAGGGGAAGGCCAAGGAGGAACGCGGCGGAGGGGAGGGAACCCGAGGCGGGGTCGGAGGCCGAGGGGCCGGGGCGCCGGGCCAGGCAGGGCCAAACCCGGGAGGCGCGGCTCAGACCCTCCGCCGGGCGACCCGCGGCCCCTGGCTCACTCGCCCCCGCGATAGGCACCGGCGCGGGCCAATGGGGGCGCGGGGCGAGGCGCCGCGGCCAATGGGAGGCGGCGGGGGCGGGCGCCGGGCCGCGGCGAGGGCCGGGCGCGGGTACCTGAAGAACAGGGTCCGGTACATCTGGTGCGCCTCGTAGTAGTCCCCCTTCTCGACGCTGGCGCGCAGCTTGCCCTCCACACGCTGGACGCCGCCGCGGTTGCGGCCGCCGTTCCGGGAGTTCTCCTGCTCGGCCATCGCCGCCGCCGCCGCCGCCATCGGGCCGGCGCTCCGCGCAGGGCTGACGCTGTCGCAGGCGCGGTCGGCAGCGCCTCCCGGCTTCCGTCCCGGCGGCCGCCCGACGCCCTTCTACGGTGGCCGCGAGGAGTCGCGCGCAGTCGGGGGCGGGCGCGCCGGCTGGCGGCGCGTGACCTGGGGCGGGGGCTGCAGGCAACACGTGACCCAGGGGCGGGGCCGCAAGCAACACGTGGCCCGGGGCGGGGCGGGGAGCGACATGTGACCCGGGGCCGGGACTGGCTCGCGCCACAATGGCCGGTGGGGTGGAACTGCCTGGTGCGGCGCGGCGGGGAGCCCGAGGCTGCGGCGGCGGCTGACCTTGAGCAGGGAGCGTCCTGGGGTGGGGCGCTGCCCACGCGCTTGGTGTTAACAGCAGCCATTGAGCTCTACGTGTAAAATGTTTAAATTAAAAATACGTTTATAGGGCCGAGCGCGGCGGCTCACGCCTGTAATCCCAGTACTTTGGAAGGCCGAGGTGCAGATCAGCTGAGGTCAGGGGTTCCAGACGAGCCTGACCAACATGGCGAAACCACGTCTCTACTAAAAATACAAAAATGAGCTGGGTGTGGGTGGCGCATGCCTGTAATTCCACCTACTTGGGAGGCTGAGGCAGGAGAATTGCTTGAACCCAGGAGGTAGAGGTTGCAGTGAGCCAAGATGGCACCACTGCCCTCCAGCCTGGGCAACAGAGCCAGACTGTGTCTCCAAACAAAAAAACCTTTTAGGATAGCTGAGCTGCCTTCCTCCTCTTCGAAAGGCCACCTGTGGTCCTCCCCTGGCCGTGGCTGGGGACCTGCGGCTGTGCCTGGGTTGACGGACAGTCACTCCCCAGGGGTTGGGCCCTGCTCGAAGGGGGAACTGGGTCGGCCTAGAGCTTCCAGCCCCGTCAGGCGGCGGAAACGGGGTCCAACCCCAGGCAGAGAGTTAGAAACGGGACCTGGGGCCCAGCCCTAGCCATGCGGGTTTGGAAACAGCTTGGCTGTAAGCATTGGGGTTTGAAAGCGGTTTGGTCTGAAGACTCCGTTAGATTTCCGACCTTATAGGTTAGCATTGTTTACAATAAAAAAGAGGAAACAAGCCTTTAAGCTGGGCCCTGCTTGAATCACCATGATCCAGCTGTGCATACAATGGACAAAAACAGCTGTTTAAAAAAAAAAAAAAAAGGTTCTTACGGGACACACTTGGTAACTGGGGAAAAGCCAGGTGCGAAACAGTGTGGTGTGTGTGCTATCACCTGTGACCTGGTGTCAGCACCTGCCTTCAGCTACAGAAGCAGCGATGAAAACTCTGTCCTGAGGAAAGCCATCACATCTCCTAACGTTCTGCCCATCAAGCAACTTGTAATTCAGTCCGTTTTCCAAGTGGAAATGGTGCCCTACAGAAAGAGATGCCCAGCACACCTGAGGCTTCAAGGCCTTGGAGGACAGGTTACCATTCAAAGGCTGTGCCACAGAGCTTGCCAACAACAGCCAGCAAACCCAGTCCCTCCCCATATCCCGGGGGCAGAGACAGATAAACTGAGAAAAGAAATACTGTTTATATCCCATGAACTTTTAAAAATTAAAACTCTTTATTTAAACCTCTTAATAGCATCTTACCAATTTGGTGGCAGCAGCAGCAGCACTACCAAAGACAGATATTTTGAAAAGCATTTACAAAAATACATTGCACAAAGTCCTATCTTGCATCTTTAAAAATAAATATTCAAAATATTTCCACCCCAAATCCCAAATCAGTTTTATATAGGAAATTTTGATTTATATATGTAACCTGTAATATATGAAACATCTGTACATTTTATCCGCTTTAACTGCATAGTTCCAATTCTAAGGAGAGTGAAAAAAATGCTGCTTGATGTATGAATAGTTTCGTGGATTTGAGGACTGTTGTGCAATATACAGAAAACCAGTCAGCACCATCGTTTTGTCTTTTTCTGAAAACACAACATTTACGGTACACCAAAAACTGTCTTAACCCAACACAACTTAAATAATTCTTAAGGTAAAACATCTGTAACACTTTAAGTGCCTTGCAGATATCTCATTATTATAAAGTCTGCTCAGTAAAACAGTCTAAATATTAAATAGTAATTATAACCAGAGAGTCTCACGAGAATCACGTGAGAATGGTGACAGCTGTGATAAAAGGCAGATTCCAGCCAGAGCCAGTAAGAAGTGCTGCTGAAGGAAAGAGGATCGTCCTGAAATGTAACGGCTTCACGACCCTGACACACCAGACAGCTCCTCTGATCACCACCAGTGAAGAGAGGAAGGCTCAGGGTATCTCGTGCTCCCTATTCAGCAAAACTCAAAACGACCCCTGAAAACACCCAAGGTGAGATTTCTGGGTTTCTGTTTACTGTGAATCCCAACAGGAAAAGCCTTGCTGAGACCAAAGAACCCCATCTGGGTGTTTGCTTAGATCCAAACCAGCCTCCTTCAAGTCAGACTGACTTCAGCCTACAAGGAGAATGAAACGCTCCCATATTCCACCACGGATATTGGTACAGCGAGTCCAGACTGGAAACCTTTCTCAGAAGTAGAGCAAACAAAGCAGAAAAACCCATTTTAGTCATTTCCCCATCTGGAGACTTAGTACGTACTGGTGCTGAATAAAGGAAAATCCCGGCTTGAAGGAAAGGAGTTTAGAACTCTGAAAATTTGGTGACATTTTTTTCCCTGAAAGAAATGTGTGTTGGATTTAACAGATGAAATTATCTGCCCTCCAAAAGTCCTTTAGAAGAGCCAGTGCAAGGCTCAAGACCAAAGCGTCAAGAACACGCCAGACTCTCAGCTTCCTCTGCTTTGCTCCTGTTGTCAAGGAAATGCAAATACTAAGAACTTCCCATTAAAAACAAGGAGCGTCTGAGACACGTGTTCAACACGCTTCCCCTGCTGCTGACCCCTCTGCACATGCAGTCAGTGAGCACCCAACAGGTGGCGCCAGGGCGCCCGTCACACGCTCTAGTCCCTGGCCAGCAGCCACGTTTATTGAAGGAGTGGCACTGTCCCATCAGTGTATATGCCCTCGTCCACGAAGGATTCCAGTGTTTCAGGCTGTCCCAGTATATACAAAAATGTACAAAAATAATGAGTAGCGTCTTCACTTGACAGGTTCGCCATGAACTCTGAACCGATACAGACAGGTGTACTCAGGATGGCCCCAGTTAGAAAAAATCCGAAGTTCCACTATTTGGAAAACTCTGTCGTCGGGTGTCTTCTGAAATCAAGGAGGAAAAAACAAAACAAAACATGTATTTCATATTTATAACCCCAAGCCCAATCACTTCCCCAAATATGACGTCTGACAGGAAGCAGCTAAATTGGAAATTAACCTTTTGTTGTTGTTGTTGAGACACAGTCTTGCCCTGTCACCCAGGCTGGAGTGCAATGGCGCAATCTCAGCCAACCTCTGCCTCCCGGGTTCAAACGATTCTCCTACCTCAGCCTCCCGAGTAGCTGGGATTACAGGCACGTGCCACCACGCCCAGCTAATTTTTGTATTTTTAGTAGAGATGGGGTTTCACCATGTTGGTCAGTCAGGCTGATCTCGAACTCCTGACCTCGTGATCTACTCGCCCCAGCCTCCCACAGTACTGGGATTACAGGCGTGAACCACCATGCCCAGCCGGAAGTTAACTCTTTAATATGATCCTTGTAAGTAATGTATCACGGGGCATGAAGCACGGGTAAAACTGAGAACTCTATTAGCCACGGAAAGGCTCATTCATGCAAAGCCAGGAAACGCAGGTTAACGTTTTTCAAAGGCTGGTCCTCACGCTGCTTTCCAGTCTGTTGATGCCGGCTGGGCCCTGCTGTCACGAGAGGCTGTGGGACTCAAGAGACCCCAGGGCAGTGCAAGTCCCGGTTCTTACCAGGGCCTGGAACATCTGGAGCGACTCCCCGTCCTGATCATACGTGAACTGTCCCAGAAGCTGCCCTTCTTCCTGATACTCATTTTCTAATCCCTGAAATCGAGACCATACAATCATGAAGTAATGGAAAAGTAACACTGAGCAGAGAGAACTGTTCCCTTCCACAGCTAACACTGAGCAAACAGGACCGTTTCCCTCCACTTAGTTAGAGAAAGTCACTCCTCCATGGCACAGTCATGAGGCCTTCCCTGGAAGGAAGGGGTGTGTTTTGTTGAGGGCTTCACATAACCCATGACACGTCCTGAGGTCAGCACGATTCCCCCCATTATACACATTAGGAAAACTGTGGCCAAAACAGGACACACTCGTGTGTCAGAGAAGTGACCCCGCCTGATGCACAGACCATGCTCAGCTGCTGCCCTCTGCACAGTGGAAGCTCTGGAGCACCTGCTGAGCCTGGGGAGACGAGGCCTCACTAGTGGGAGGGGCCACAGAAGACCAACTCCAGCAGGAGAGCAGGCAGAAGGGGGTGCTGGGCCAAGCTGGGGTGTGGGGAGTCAGGGCTCAGTGGGGATAGAGATTCAGACTAGAAGATGGAGCAGCTCTGGAGATGATAGTGGTGATGGCAGCACGACAGTGTGACTGGACTTAACGTCACCGGACTGTGCACTTATTAAAATGGTAAGCTTTATGTTGTATTTTACCAGAGTCAGAAAACTAGCAGAAGATACAGGGAACTATTTGCGTATCTGTTTTGAAATGGGAAAGGACTTTCTAGGGAGTTCCAGCTCCGTAGATCTAAAGAAATTCCAGCGAGTGAGTAATTATTGCCTCTGATAATCACCAGTGAAATAAAAATACAGGGCTGGGCGCAGTGGCTCACGCCTGTAATCCCAGCACTTTGGGAGGCTGAGACGAGCGGATCATGAGGTCAGGAGATCGAGACCGTCCTGGCTAACTTGTTTTTTGTGTTACTCACGGTGAAACCCCGTCTCTACTAAAAATACAAAAAAAATTAGCCGGGCGAGGTGGTGGGCACCTGTAGTCCCAGCTACTTGGGAGGCTGAGGCAGGAGAATGGCGTGAACCCGGAGGCGGAGCTTGCAGTGAGCTGAGATTGCGCCACTGCACTCCAAGCCTGGGCAACAGAGTGAGACTCTGTCTCAAAAAAAAAAAAAAAAAAATACAGGCGTGGTGGTGTCCTGTAGTCCCGCTACTCGGGGGCTGAGGCAGGAGAATCGCTTGAACCCAAGGGGCAGAGGTTGGTGGTGATTATCACGCCACTGCATTTTCAGCCTGGGCAACAAGACAAAGTCGTCTCAAAAAAAAAAAAGAAAAAAGAAAACGCTAGTAACACAGTGCACTTGACTTGGCCGTAAACATGCTGCTGGTCTGAAACCGTGACCGCCACTTGTGGTGTCTTGTCCATGGGGATTAGTGAAGGTGTAAAGGAGCGGCAGTTACACAGGGAAGCAAAGGGAAAGAAATACACTCAGTGAGAGGAGAACCGGCCAGATAAACACGGAGGATTGACGCTACTTGAGGATGGATAAAGTCTAACTGCCACGAAAACGCTTGTAATACAATTTCCTTCTTTTTTTTGTTTTCCTTTGCGACACAGTCTCGCTCTGTTCCCAGGCTGGAGTGTAGTGGCTCAATCTTGGCTCACTGCAGCCTCTGCCTCCCAAGTTCAAGTGACTTTGCCTCGGACTCCTGAGTAGCTGGGATGACAGGCACGCACCATGCCCGGCTAATTTTTGTATTTTTAATAGAGATGTTTCCATGATGACCAAGGTGTCCTCAACTCCCAACTTTAGGTGATCCACCATCCTCGGCCTCTCAAAGTGCTGGGATTACAGGCATGAGCCACCACACCTGGCCAATTTTTTTTTAAGGGCAGAAATACTTTTATGAAATGTTTATGAAAATTTTTAAAGGGGCCGGGCCGCGGTGGCTCAAGCCTGTAATCCCAGCACTTTGGGAGCCGAGGCGGGTGGTCACGAGGTCAGGAGATCGAGACCATCCTGGCTAACATGGTGAAACCCCGTCTCTACTAAAAATACAAAAAACTAGCCGGAGAGTGGCGGCGCCTGTAGTCCCAGCTACTCAGAGGCTGAGGCGGGAGAATGGCGTGAACCCAGGAGGAGGAGCTTGCAGTGAGCCGAGTTCGCGCACCGCACTCCAGCCTGGGCGACACAGCGAGACTCCGTCTCAAAAAAAAAAAAAAGAAAAGAAAATTTTAAAGGTTCATAAACACTACTGTCTGAACTGTAATTTTTTTTTTTTTTTTTTTAAAGACAGGTTCACTCTGTTGCCTAGGCTGGAGTGCAGTTGGTACGATCTCAGCTCAAAGCAACCTCCGCCTCCTAGATCAAGTGATTCTTCTGCCTCAGCCTCCCAAGTATCTGGGATTACAGGCGTGCACCACCATGCCTGGCTTTTTTTTTTTTTGGTATATTTTAGTAGAGACCGGGTTTTACCATGTTGGCTAGGCTGGTCTCGAACTCCTGACTTCAGGTGATCCGCCTATCTTGGCCTCCCAAAGTGCTGGGATTACAGACTCAACTGTATTCTTTAAAAGGCATGCGGAAGAAACCAGAAAGTATCATAGTATTAATGGTGGGTTTTTCTGGGGCTGGGATCATGGCAGTCCTCTTGTCAGTTAGCTGCTCCCATGTCACCCAGTTGCCCGAACACCTGTCACAGGCAACCTGGCAAAGGCGGCGAAGAGCAAAATCCTTAGGCGTGTCTGCCTTGGTCAGTGTAGTACTGTATGTAAAGTGGACATCAGGTAATATGCCATTTCTAAGTTACCCTCCCTGGAAAAACACTAGAATGTTCCCCTCAACACTGAATCTGCTAAGAGAGGGCGGCCGGAGGCAGCCGTCCCGAGTGCGCTCACGTCACTTGCTTTCATCTGTGGGAACTCCCAGGAAGGTGTGGGAGGAGGAGAGGCGGCCACGTGCACTCACATAGACGGCGAAGTCCTTGGGGGCGCTGCTGATGTTGCCTGTTGGTGACAGCGTCTTAGGAATGTGCTCCAGAGTGAAGGCGGCTGGGTGGATCATCATGGAGAGCCTCACCACCAGGTACCCCTGGGAGCCTTTAAATGCCCAGCAGTTACCGGGGTAAATGTCAGGCTGAGGAAAGGAAAAACATGAGGACTCAGAGTGTGAGCATGCTCTTACCCACTTAGAAGCAGTAAGAGGAAAGGCTGATTATACTGAGCTAAAAATAATTTTTACATGGTAGAAACTGCCATGAGCAAAATCCGAAGATAAGCTGGGAAAAACATTTGTAATTCACTCCTCAAAGGGCCATTATCTCCAGCCTGTATGTTGTATGAAAGTTAAAATGACCAGAACCTTAAAGAAAAATGGGTGAGACATACAACATACTTCAAAGAAAAGGTGAACGTCAGTGGTCCTCGGTCGTGGGAAGATGCCCTCCACCCTGCACAGCAAGAAGGGACATCATCACAGGGAACCACCACTGACCCCTATCCGACCAACATCAAATCAGGGGTCTAACAGAGTCTGCCGCTGACGCCCTGGGGAGATGCACATTCTCACCGCCGGCCACGGTGCGGCGTGCAGCCCCAGAAGCGCAGCTTGGCGAAGTCAGCCCACTGTGCACACATCTGCCTCTGGCCTGCAGTCGCACCTCCACTTCCAGGTGCAGGGACAGAACTGCAGGATGCAGATGCGACCGAGAGCACGCCTCACAGCGCGACGTCCCCAGGCACACACAGGGACTGGCTGGGAAGCTGCAGACGCTGTGTCCAGGCAGTCATGCTGCTGTGTGCAATGGAGGAGACCGCCGTGCAGGCAGCCTGCCTTCGGTGTGTGAGAATGACACACACGTTAGTTCATGTTTAGACGAGACGGTGAACAATGGGCACGTACCCGCCAGCTTCTCCTCTATGCCAGCTGTGCATTTACTGCCCCTCAGCCCCCAAGCCACCCTTCTGCTGCGCTGTGAAGATGGAGCTGAGCCTTGAACTGCCTCCCTTTGCCAGCGCAGAGCCTAGCTCTTGCCAGCTCAGGGTGCTGGAGGGACACTGAGGTTCCCTGGTTCCCCTCTTGGGAGTGCTGCAGCCAAACGCCTGGTGAGTCACCCTGCTGTGCACAGGCTTTCCCAGCATGCTGGCACATTCCTCGGTGTGGCACCACAGCAACTTCCCTGACGTGCAGTGAGCTGGGCCACGCCCTCGCCCAAAGGTCTGGAGCGACCCTCTGGTGAGGCTCCACTGTGGTCCCTTCCATCTGCGGTCCCTATGTTCTGTAAACGTTCTCTTTACTTCCCAGGAGCCGACAGCTTCGTGGTCCAGTCCCATCACAGTGACGGCGGTTTACATGAAGTCTGCCCCTCCAGGGACGTACAGTTCCTGCCGAGAGAGAACTGTGCCAGGGAGGGCTGAGCTCCACCCTCTCCCTTAGTCTCTGAGACACTGAAGCCACGCTGCACTCTCACCCCCAGATCCCCACCAGCATCACGCTGACGACGCTGTGGGCCAGTGAGCTCCTCTGGGAGGGTCAGGATCACCAAGCCCGCTGAGAAGGAGGTTACGGCCAGGAGCAGGAGAACCACCATGCAGGAACACCGTGGCAACCCCGTGCAGGAAACCTGTCGGCCCTGCCGGGTGACACAGACTGTGCCGGTGGCGCTCGCGAGCTGGCACGGAAAAACCAGCTGCATGCCAAGCGCAGGGCTGTGTGGCTTCACGGCAGCAGAGGCTGTATCTGCCTGCAGTGAGGAGGGCTCCCGGCTGCGCCCTCGGGAGCAAAGTGCTGGTGAGTCTGTGTGCTGCTGATGGCCACAGAAAGCCAAACAGTCCCGCTGACCTGACACTTCCACCAGGGTGGCCTGGGGACGAGATCATGACGACGACAGTCCCGCAGGACCTTCAACTTCAGGTCACGGGCATGTCATGAATTCTTTCAGGCTGGACTTGTGTTTTCCAAGTGAAAGCTGTCTTGACATTGTTCCACATACAAGGAATTACTGGACTTTTCTTCAAAACATGTCATGAATATTAGGCAGGATTTGAGTACTGAGGCAAAATAGATCTATCTGTTTAAATTCTCCATCCTTTAGTGCTTTAAACTTGTACGGTCAATAGTATAAAGTATTAAACGAAGCCACAGAAAAGCAGTACACAACAAGGACGATAGCAGAACGTCCAGGAGACGGGGGGTGAAGGCCTGGGAGACGAGGGGTGAAGGCCTGGGAGACGGGGGGTAAAGGCCTACACCGAGGCCAAACAGCAAGGGCCTCCCCACCTATTCTCTCTCAACACCCGAGAAAGCACAGCTGACACTCTCGTGACGGAAGACCCACAGCCCCGAGCAGGAACAGTTGCCACTCACACCACCATGGCTGGACCACCCAAAAGAGGGAGGGAGGAGGGCCGACGGGACCAGCATGTGCCACACGGTCCCATCTTTGCGACGCTAAACCCAAGCCAACAGACGTGTAGCGTGGAGGCTACACGGGGACTCCTCGGTGTGGGAACACTGCTGCTGCTTGCGGTACCAGTTCCACAGACATGTTCATCTCACGAAGTTCTGCCAGGCTGGGGACGTACGACCTGTGAACACTAACAGAGCCCATGCTGAAGAGCAGCTCCAGCCACCGGCGGCCACTCACCTGGATGACCACGCGTGGGGACTGCGAGAAGTACCACAGCGGGATCCCAAACAGACTCATCAGGGCCGTTTTGGTTTCGTACGTTTCAGAACAGCGAGTACTCAGGATGCTGCCACCTTAAAGCAAAGTTCAGATCAGTCTCAGGGCCCCGTTCCACCATTTTGGAAGCAATAGTATTGCACCTCTTAAGGATTTACTCAGAATGTTTTCAAGAAAAGTGCTCAACATCACTGATAGAGAAATGCAAGTAAAAGCTGCAATGAGATTTCCTCTCCCCGCCGTTAAAATGGCTTCTATCCTAGAGACAGGCAGTAACAAATGCTGGTGAGGACGCGGAGAAAGGAATCCTCACGCACTGTTGCTGGGAATGGAGACTAGTACAACCACCATGGAGAGCAGTTCGGAGGTCCCTCAGAAAACCCACAACAGAGCTACCATATGACCCAGCAATGCCACTCCGGGGTACATACCCAACAGAAAGGAGGGCCGTCTATCGTAGGGAGATCCACACTTCTATCTTTGGTGCAGCACTACTTGTTTACCATGACTAACATCTGGAAGCAACCTAAATGTCCACTAACAGATGAATGGGTTGCATAAACACAATGGAGTACTACTCAGCCATAAAAATCAATGAGAGCAGGCCAGGCGCAGTGGCTCACGCCTGTAATCCCAGCACTTTGGGAGGATGAGGCAGACGGATCACTTGAGGTCAGGAGTTCCAGACCAGCCTGGCCAACATGGCGAAACCCCATCTCTACTAAAAATACACAAATTAGCCAGGCGTGGTGACGGGCGCCTGTAATCCCAGTTACTTGGGAGGCTGAGGCAGGAGAATTGCTTGAACTGGGAATGAGCCAAGATCACGTCACTGACTCCAGCCTGGGTGACAGAGCAAGACTACACCTCAAAAAAAAAAAAAAAAAGCTTGTCATTTGCAACATGGATGGATACCAGAGGTCTTTATGTTAAGTGAAATAAGCCAGGCATAGAAAGACAAACATCCCATGTTCTTACTTATTTGTGGGATCTAAAAACCAAAACCATTGAACTCATGGACAGAGACAGTAGAAGGGTGGTACCAGGGACTGGGAAGGGGAGTTGGGGCTTGGGGAAAGTGAGAATGGTTAATGGGTCAAAAAAAAAAAAAAAAAAGAAAAAAAAAAGAAAGAGAATGAGGCAGAGTGCAGTGGCTCACGCCTGTAATCCCAGCACTTTGGGAGGCCAAGGCGGGCAGATCACCTGAGGTCAGGAGTTCCAGACCAGCCTGACCAACAGGGACAAACTCCATCTCTACTAAAAATACAAAAATTAGCCAGACGTGGTGCTGTGCCCCTGTAGTCCCAGCTACTCAGGAGGCCGAGGCAGGAGAATCGCTTGAAGTTGGGAGGCAGAGGTTGTGGTGAGCCGAGACTGCACCACTGCACTCCAGCCTGGGCAACAGAGACTCTTTGTCTCTAAGAAAAATGAATGCATAAGACCTACTGTATGATAGCAGAACAGGGTGACTACAGTGAATAACTTAATTGTGCTTTTTTTTTTTTTTTTTGAGATGAAGTTTCACTTGTTGTCCAGACTAGAGTGCAATGGTACGATCTTGGCTCACTGCAACCTCTGCCTCCTGGGTTCAAGCGATTCTCCTGCCTCAGCCTCCCGAGTAGCTGGGATTACAGGCGCCCACCACACCCGGATAATTTTTTTGTATCTTTTTGGTAGAGACGGGGTTTCTCCATGTTGGTCAGGGTGGTCTCAAACTCCCGACCTCAGGTGATCCGCCTGCCTCGGCCTCCCGAAGTGCAGTGAGCCCCTGCACCGGCCTAACTGTGCATTTTTAAATAACTTAGAGTATAACTGAATTGTTTGTAACTCAAAGGATAAATGCTGGAGGGGATGGTACCCCGTTTTCCATGATGTGCTTACTTCACATTGCAGGCCTGTATCAGAACATCTTACACACCCCATAAATATATGCACCTATGTACCCACAAAAACTAAAATTAGTTAAGAACCCATTAAAATACATAAGTTTGAAAATGACAAAGGATGTTATCTAATACCAGCTAATAAATATTTTAGGGTTAAAAAAAGTGTTTTTAAACTTCTCAAGTTTTTACATATAGAAAGAACCTCCTACTTTTAGACCAGTCCTTTTCTTAATTGTCCTTTCTCAAATTGAGTGTTAAGAGTTTACAACTGCTTTAGGATACAGAATTTTTACTTACTGAAATTGGGAAATTCTTACAATACTGGCCTTCCCCCACTACTGCTAGAGAGATAGCTACTCTGAATGAACTTTCCTTGGTTTTTCTCAATGAAGAATAAAGCACACAACTGAGCCTGGTGTCACCTGGCAGGTGAGCTTTCAGGCCCTGAAGAGCAGACCTTCCGTCACAGTAATTACCAATCACAGTGAAAAGGCTGGGGCCGTGAGGATGACTGCTGGCAGGTACAGGGTTTCCTAGCGGGGGTCAGAAAGATTTTGGGGTGAGGCAGTGGTGATGGCTGCACTGTGAATATGCTAATAACCACGGAGCTGTACATTTTAAAATGGTGAATTTTTGTGTGAATTACATCTCAATAATAAGAGGCAGCATAAAAAACAAGTCCAGCTTGGCCCTCAATAGGAAATAGGGCAGGCAGAATGTTGTTGTCATAGCAGGACAAAAAACCCCCAAGAAACAAAAACCAAGCTGGCCCTGAAGGCAGCACGCAACACCAGGCAGCAAGGGCAAGCTCAGAAGGGCGGCACTCCAGGGGCCCTGGCGCCGGTGAACCACGGGCCGGAGAGGCAGAAACTGATGGTTTTTGTTTTTTTCTCACTCTGTCCCCAGGCTGGAGTGCAGTGACATGATCTCAGCTCACTGCAAGCTCCGCCTCCCAGGTTCATGCCATTCTCCTGCCTCAGCCTCCCGAGTAGCTAGGACTACAGGCGCCGCCACGCCCGGCTAGTTTTTTTTATTTTTAGTAGAGATGGGGTTTCACCGTGTTGGCCAGGATGGTCTCGATCTCCTGATCTCGTGATCCGTGCCCGCCTTGGCCTCCCAAAGTGCTGGGATTCCAGGTGTGAGCCACCGTGCCCGGCCAGAAACTGATGCTTTAACCAGGAAAACCAGGGGATTTTAATGTAGCTGATTGAGACCCGAATTTCCAAACCACTAAATTATCTTTTTAAAAATCCTGTTCTCCGTCTAACTCACAAAGTGCCAATCAATGTTTTCTTCAGTATCAGAACCTTCAGTGCAGCCTTCTCAGGATTACCAGTGTTCTGAGGTACACAGAAACCTGTAAGGATTAACTAGGGTTTTAAGAATAAATGACATCTCGGCTCAAACTGTATGGTTCATGTCAATTGATGCCTCTTAATGGAAAATAATTTCTTCCTAAATCACTGAATTTCAAAATATATAACTAAAAGCACTTAATATTCTTTTTTCTTTTTTTTTTTTTTGAGACGGAGTCTCGCGCTGTGTCACCCAGGCTGGAGTGCAGTGGTGCGATCTCGGCTCACTGCAAGCTCCGCCTCCCGGGTTCACGCCATTCTCCTGCCTCAGCCTCCGAGTAGCTGGGACTACAGGCGCCCGCCACCACGCCCGGCTAGTTTTTTGTATTTTTAGTAGAGACGGGGTTTCACCATGTTAGCCAGGATGGTCTCGATCTCCTGACCTCGTGATCCACCCGCCTCGGCCTCCCAAAGTGCTGGGATTACAGGCTTGAGCCACCGCGCCCAGCCAAAAGCACTTAATATTCTAAAAAGGTCACTTTAAACACACACACACACTGATCAAGCCAGTAGCCTTGTTGACATCTACCATTTGGAAGAATCTGGCCATTGTTACTATGACTTCAGTCTGCAGCCACCACAGGAAGAACCCACGGGGTGGCAAATGACTGAACTCAAACCCAGCTGCTCCCATACTAATGGGATCAGGTTCCTGCACAACCACGCGGCAGAGTCCCTACCCAGCCCTACACCATCGTGGGTTTTAGAAATCCCTCCTGCTCTGCAGACTCTCCAGTCCCTCCACGCACTAACATGTACTGAACTCAGCATCTTCTGAGTGATAATGTGAGTCTCCCAGCCCACATTTGCAAATCCTACATTTAAAAACTTCAGAAAGGCTGGGCGTGGTGGCTCATGCCTGTAATCCCAGCACTTTGGGAGGCCGAGGCGTGCAGATCACAAGCTCAGGAGATTGAGACCATCCTGGCTAACATGGTGAAACCCCGTCTCTACTAAAAATACAAAAAAATAGCAGGGCGTGGTGGCGGGTGCCTGTGGTCCCAGCTACGCGGGAGGCTGAGGCAGGAGAATGGCGTGAACCCGGGAGGCAGAGCTTGGGAGTGAGCCGAGATCGCGCCACTGCACTCCAGCCTGGGCAACAGAGCGAGACTCTGTCTCAAAAAAAAAAAAAAAACAAAAACCACAAACCTTCAGAAAACCAAGATTTCGATTTCCATAACACGTGTGGTGCAAACCTTCCCTGAGCAGACGTGAAGCAGGTCTAGCTCTCCTCTCATGGTTCTTTCGGAAATGCTCGTGTCTGATCCAGGTGTGCTGCCCCACTCCCCATGGAGGGGCTGTGTGGACCCCAAGACTTTCCTCAGCTGCGATTCTGATTTTCAAATGCATCTGCCCCAAGAGGTCTGGCCTAGACTTGTGCCCCTGCAGGGTTTCCCAGACCCTGACCACAGCGGCCTTTGTATTTCTCTGAGGTCCTGAAACACTGCCCCCATCATTCCATTTGCTTAGCCTGCTCCTGCTCCCGGTCTGTCTTGCTGCTGAATGGACACCCTCGGGGAGAGCTGTGTGGTCACTGCTGAGTCTCTCCTGAAGGCACTGAACAATCCCCGATCACAGCACAGGAGAGAGTGAAGTCGACCAAACTTTCTGTGCTGTGAACCCTGACTTAGCCACAAGCATGCACCCCCAGCCCTTCCAGGCACTTAGCCACCTGTGCCCCCCAAACACAACTGGCCAGCAAGAACGAACACCAGGGACATGCCCAGAATCACATGCCTTTTCTCAGACGTGTAAACGTTAGGAGTCTTTACTGCTGGACGTGGGGCAGCAACAGCCTCTCCAGTGCACACCCCTGCTAACAGGTGACCATCTCACTTAGTAATCCGAACGTCTGTTTACTCACCACCAGATTCCAGAGCAAAGTCCACCATCCCAGTCTTATCTTGGGAATACAGCTTCAAGGCGTTGTTCACGATGGCACGTGCTTGCTGGACAGACACGAGGACAGACCACCGAACACCAGAACAGGAGAGGAGAGACTTGGGTTTTAGTGCCATAGATGAGGACCAGATACTTACATTAGAGCATTTTCTCAATGGAACCTATGTAGGGGATCCTAGGCATGAGAGAAGTAACTCCACACTCCAGTCCTGTACCTAACTGCCAAGGCCATAGGATGGAGATGGGACAGCACGAGGTCTCTTCCCCCAGGGCTCAGTCATGGCCGCCATCAATCTTTGAACCAGAAAAATCCCCCAGACGCCATAAAACATGAATAAAGGAAAGATGAGACTTCAAGCCTGGAACACAGGAAATTCTGGGAATTTAGGTATTACTGAGTGACATGGTTTGGCTGTGTCCCTGACCAAGTCTCACCTTGAATTGCAGCTCCCCTAATTCCCATGCTGTGGTGGGGACTGGGTGGGAGGAACCGAGTCATGGCCTTGAATTGCAGCTCCCATAATTCCCATGCTATGGTAGGGAATGGGTGGGGGGAACCAAGTCATGGCCTTGAATTGCAGCTCCCGTAATTCCCATGCTATGGTAGGGAATGGGTGGGAGGAACCAAGTCATGGCCTTGAATTGCAGCTCCCATAATTCCCACATTGTGGTGGGGACTAGATGGGGGAACCAAGTCATGGCCTTGAATTGCAGCTCCCGTAATTCCCATGCTGTGGTAGGGACTGGGTGGGGGGAACTGAGTCATGGCCTTGAATTGCAGCTCCCCTAATTCCCACGCTGTGGTGGGGACTGGGTGGGGGGAACCGAGTCATGGCCTTGAATTGCAGCTCCCATAATTCCCACACTGTGGTGGAGACTAGGTGGGGAAACTGAGTCCTGGGGGTGGGGTTTCTCCCATGCTGTTCTCCTGATAGTGTCTCACGAGATCTGATGGTTTTATAAAGGGAGTTCCCTTGCACATGCTCTCTTGCCTGCCGCCATGTAAGACATGACTTTGCTCCTTGTTCACCTTCCCCCATGATTGTGAGGCTTTTCCAGCCATGTGGAACTGTCAATCATCCTTTCTAAATTGCCCAGTCCTGGGTATGTCTTTATTAGCAGCATGAGAACAGACTAATACACGGAAACATTTTCATGGAACTTCAGAAGGTGTGGCCACCACACAGGCAGATGGGCTCTTTCGGACAAAAAGATTCACAAAGTATAAAGAACTCCCAAGAGGCAGCTCAGTAATGACATCGACAGCAAGAGCTGAAGCTCACCGCACAGGTGCCCCTCCATACACGGCACTGCCCAGGCACATCCCATCTCACTTATGTCAGCTAAGCATACCCCAGCCAGACCACTCTTAAAACAACACATCAACATCCACGCCTCACAGCGAGGTCTTCAGTCTCAGCAGAGAATGGACTGTAAGCATTTCTTGCCGCCGACTCACCGCCTCTGTTATTCCAGACGCCCCCGCCTCGCTCACAGCAGACACCACGACTTCCGAGGCTGGGAGCCGCTTGGTCACGGAAATGTGGTGGGTGACGTTCCTCAGGATCTGCAGCTCCAGGTCTCGCAGCATCGTGTGCAAGTCGCCTCTGCTCACACACTGCGATGAGAACCTCTGTAGCAGCTGTTCCAGAGAGCCGCCTTGCTGATCTTCGGAAAACAGGAGTTTCACCGTTTCTCTGACTTGCACATCCACCTAGTAAAACAGTAGAGAGACACAAATTTACTATTTTAACTAAATCATTTCCATTCTTTGGGTCCATTATCTTAGATATCTCAGAAGTATTATATATCCTCTCGAAATCTAGAATGTCACTGTGACAGTGTTTTCCTTCGTATTAAATTTAAGAACCCCTCCAATAATGCAGGAACATGTTAAAAAGAACAGAAATAGGCAAGCTCGTGGGATGAGGACGACCTGCATCCTAGGAGCTGCAAGATGCGATGGGGCATGTCCACACCATCTGGAGGTGCGTGTCCATCCAGCAAGCACCCGCCGGGCACCCTGCAGCTAGGCACACAGGTGCACTGGAGAGGCCTTGCCATCGACAAACTTGGTCTGGTAAGAAAACAGTCATATAAACGAACCTAAATTATAGCTTCATGTATGCTAAATACGCCCCGTGTTATTTCTACGCACACAAACACATATGTAAATACCTTTTTCTTCTTGCTTTACAACAATAGACCGTGAAGGACATGGCAAAGCCTATGGCACGGCCGTTCATCACAGCCACCCTCCCACGCTCCACGTGTGGACACACCTTTCTCTAGCCCACACCCGCTAACAGTGGCACGTGGCTGCTTTCTACCCTCACTTCTCCCCACACTAACTTTGCAGCGCTAACCCTCCTGCCTGTGTGGCCTCTGTACTGGTGCCTTTATTTCTGTAGGATGACTCCCAAGGGCATGGTTGTGCGTTTCAAAGAGTGCAGGTATTTGTCACTGGTGAATATCCTAAGATTTTCCCCCCGAGGCCGTGGTTGGTGACAGTCCTCCTGGCCAGGGGAAAGCCCGCCGCCTTGGCCAGTGCTGACAGCAGCCGGCGTCCTCGTGGGCCTGTAGACTACAGATGAGAGCCTGCTGTAGTCTGCAAGTCCCATCAGCAGGACTCAGCTCCCTGATGGCACATTGGCTTTTTTTTTTTTTTTTTTTTTTTTTTTTGAGACAGAGTCTCACTCTCGCCCAGGCTGGAGTGCAATGGCGTGATCTCGGCTCACTGCAACCTCCGCCTCCCAGGTTCAAGCGATTCTCCTGCCTCGGCCTCCTGAGTAGCTGGGATTACAGACCCACGCCACCACACCCGGCTAATTTTGTATTTTTAGTAGAGGGTTTCACCAAGTTGGCCAGGCTGGTCTCGAACTCCTGACCTCAGGTGATCCGCCCGCCTAGGCCTCCCAGAGTGCTGGAATTACAGGTGTGAGCCACCGCGCCCAGCCTATCGCACGCTTTCTCTGTCGCCACTGCTTCTCTTCCTACCAATTCTAGGGGCTCTCTGCCCATCAGAGATAATTTTACCACACATATTGCAAATACCTTTACCAATCTACTGTCTGACTTTGACGACTTTTGCCAAATGATTGTGTTTTCATTCTTAAGCAGCTCTAAATGTCTAGATTTTCTCCTCTGCCTAAGGATGATGGACTTGAAGCAATGTCTATGATACGTTTTAACATGAAACAGAGCAAGCAGCAGGTTCAAGGTGGGTCTATTTAATGAAAGGTACACAGCAACAACCCAGCCACAAGTCAGCGCTGGCCCTGGGCTGCACGCACACCAAGGAGACTGGAAAGACGCACGGTGGGTGCTGACAGGCGGTGGTGCGGGAACGGGAAAATCTACAGAGCGCTGAATTAGTTATTTTGAAATATTTAAAAAGTTCACATATAGTCAAAAAAGTTTTTAAAGGAAGTTGAAATTAAACAACTTAGGCCAGGTGTGGTGGGTGGCTAAGGCCTGTAATCCCAGCACTTTGGGAGGCCGAAGCAAATAGATCACTTGGAGTCAGGAATCTTGAGACCAGCCTGACCATCGTGGTGAAACCCCATCTCTACTGAAAACACAAAAATTAGCTGGGCATAGTGGCACGTGCCACTAGTCCCAGCTACTCGGGAGGCTAAGGTGGGAGAAGAGTTTGAACCCAAGAGGTGGAGGTGGTCTGCAGTGAGCCGAGATCGTGCCACTGCAGTCTAGCCTGCACGCCACAGCAAGACTCGGTCTCAAAAAAAAAAAAAAAAAAATTTAAACAACTAATAAACCTAAGTCATCAGGTTTTCTTTTACTCTATTATAAAACAAAAAGTAAACACGCAAGCAGCTCACTCTTTCTTGTAGAGCATCCACTGTCTCACAGCCAGTCTTCATGTGTCGCCAGCTGGACAGCTCTGACTTTAGCTGATCCAGCTCCAGTTGGAGGTGCTCGACCGTGGGCAGGAGCTGCTCACCAACCGCACTGGAATCCAACAGTGAGAATGGGTCACACACAAGCCTCCCAGCCTACACACTTCCCGCACTACACACAGGCTGAGGGGACCCGATCCCACTCCTGGGTGTCCTAACTGTACAGATGTCAACCTGTGCCACACTAACATGGAAACTGAATGCCAGTTTCCAACAAAAATCCCAGAGAGGTCTTCTTCTGCATCAATTTATGTCTGTAACATACAAATATCCACACTGCACAAGGAGGCTACCTACAAGAGTGCTGCTAGCGGTGTTTCTCAGTGGCGAGTGAGAGCTCTCTCTGAAAATGATTTAAGCATCTAAAAACTTTATTTCTGGACTGGGCACGGTTGCTCATGCCTATAAGCCCAGCACTTTGGGAGGCCAAAGCAAACGGATCACTTGAGGCCTTTATAGGTACACATACTTAATGAGATACTAACAATTCATATCTCAAAAAGCTCATTCCCGGATCAACACTTCAGGACTGACATATTACCGTATTAAAGCAACTTTTTATTGAAATAAAAGCTTTGGAAGAAGAGAAAACTGCTTCAGCTCTCACACCTGTCCTCACAGAGGAGGAACATGGGGCACAGGGGAGGACGGACCCTCCTGAGTGCAGACGCGGGGACCTTGGGAAACCACAACCAAGCCAAGGCTGCCCAATCTAGAAGCGGGGAGGGCTGTGGGGGTATGAGCTGTGTGTATAAAACTAAGGAAGACAGACAAAGCTGCCGTGTTGGGAACACCTGTGAGAGGGAGGCACTCCACTTAAGCAGGCTTCAGGCAAATCAGTAGTTGTGTGGAAGAAAGCCGCCTGGAGTCCTCGAGGAGCAAAACGCCAGCAACCCCAGGAAGCGCAGAGGGACCCGGATGTGCCATGAATTCCAAGGACAGCAGGGCCAACAGCCACGCAGAAAGGCCCACCGTGACATGCCCAGCACAAATCGGGTGGTTCTGGAAGCAGGTGTCCTGCCCACCAGGGGCTGCCCTCCAGGAGCAGCAGCAGGGATGAGGCTGAGCTGTAACCCCACCCACCTAGATGCCAACGGTGCCAGCGCAGGCCCGGCGCAGAGCCCACCATGACACCCACTATGGCATGGGCCGCAAGATGGGCCTCGACCTACTCCCTGAGGGTGGCCCTGCAAGCACACTGGAGACGAAGTTACAGCAGGGGCAAGGGCAGCACCTTTGACACGGAGGTCCATGCCACACGGAAGGGGATGTGGCAAGTCCCTCAGGCCCCGTTTGTCCTCGCGCAGCCCAGCAGGAGTGTCTGTCAGCACAAACCTCAGGGCCTTCAGGTGACCCACGGTGGAGGCTGGCCCCGTGTCCCCTCGTTCATCACTCTGCTGCCGCTCCACATAAGACACACACACACACACACACACACACACACACACACACACACAGGAGACAAAAGTGAGTGTTTTCCAAATCCTCCTACCTGACTGTTTTTTGCTTGGTCTGTTCTAATTCCTTCTGGATGGCCTAAAAAATACAAGAAATAATCTACTGAAATACTTAAGTTATATATTAACTTTTCATAAATCCATATACTTAAAACTCCATTGATTTCTCTGAAACACCCCCTTTAATTCAAAGTCCAGATCCGCCTGTGGGTGGCAGGTAGGAAGTGTTCATTGTACATTTGAAAGTAACCTTCATCAAGTGTGTGCAGAAAGGAGCACAAATCACACGGGGACGGCCTGGCGGGCTCAGAACATGCAGCTCCCGTAACCAGCACCCAGGCTGGGAGTCAGCTCCCTGTCACACCTCCAGAGTGTGTTCTAAACGTGAAGGACAGGGACACGGCAGAGGCACACATGAAGCTGAGCCATGCTGGCCTGTGCCATCCGCGCGACCTGACAGCAGCACCATGCTGAGCGCCGGCGTCAGCCCCAAGTCTCACTCCACGGAGGTCTCCACAGCCTGGCCCAGGGCAGGCGGACATAGGAGGCGGCACCCTGCAGACCCTCACGAGCGGACACAGGAGGCGGCGCCCCGCAGACCTTCACGAGTGGACACAGGAGGCGGCGCCCCGCAGACCCTCGCAGGCGGGTACATTCTCCCCTCTGCCTGCTCCTCTCAGCCCTCCTCTCCCTCCCAGGTAAACCCGCCTGATCTCACAGGTTCCATAATCCATGAGCGGGTCCCAAGATTCCCAAAAGGGTGTGCTAAAGACAACCCTTAGGCTCACCACGTTTCTCAATGTAGTTCAATACACACATGCACATGTGACACGCCAGGCTCTGTGTCAAGCACCAGAGACACAAAGAGCCGGAACCTGAGCCCCACCCTAACTCCCAAGGGCTGAGGGCAGCACAGAGGCCCGGCCCCTCCCCTGGCATTCTCAGCAACTAATGGTCCCAGCCTTCCCACCCAAAGCTAGTGCTGTCTGTCAAAAGGTTCAGGTCCTTTATCTCCCCTCTAAAGACACTGCAAGGGGGTGTGTGGCAGCGAGGAAGCACCCTGGAGCCGGAAAAAGCTGGATGGGAACCCAGAGGCCGCCTGGAATTGGCAGAGCCACCTCCTGGCGTGTGCAGCCCTACTCTGTGCCGAGACACAGGGATGAGTGAGTTACACGCCCGATTAAATGTTAGAGTCCCAGAGCCGCTGCCACACCAGACAGAGAACAAGTGTTTCTTTCCACTTTACACAAAACAACAGCAAATAGCCTAAAAAGAGGAACATTAAATGACCCAGGGGCTTTAAAATATGAGCCATAGTTGATTTTCTTTTTATTTTAAAAAAGCATAAGGTGAAAAATAAATACCTCAGATTTTTCTCTCAGTTTTCCCAGAATATCTTCCAAGTGTGAGATGCGCACTTCATGTTCTTGGTGAAAAGCCATAAAGTCAGTCTTAGGAAAGAAAAGGGGTGAACAAATGATGGAGAAAGCTAAGCAACAAAAACCTGGCAAGTTAGGCCAAGGCGTTTCTACACGGAATGTCGACAATCAGAGAATCTGCGGTTGCAATGTGGTACAGACCCTAAAGGAATAATCCGCTTAATAACAACATCCTCATCTTCATCCCTAACTCCAGAGATCTTTATTTATATATTTATTTATTTTATGGCTGCACTCCAGCCTGAACCACGGGTCCCCTCTGTGGTTCATTGCAACCTCCACCTCCTGGGCTCAGATGACCCTCCCACCTCGGCCTACTGAGTAGCTGGGACCACAGGCCTGAGCCCAGTGCACTGACACAGCAAACCCCGTGAGGGCCTGATGCCCACCTCGGGCCACGGTGGGCCGTGCTGCAGCTGTGCTGTCCAGCAGGGCAGCACCAGTCACTCGTGGCTACTGGGCACCTGAAATGGGGCCATGCAAGTGAGAACCTGCCACTTAAAGTTCGATGTGGTGCTGACTGACAAAAATGTAACAACCATATGCTAGCAGTGGCGTCCTCCACTTGGCAGTGCAGATGCAAACATGAGCTAGAGGCTCCGGGAAGCAGGTACCAGGCTCTGCCCGCTGCCAGGTGGCTGAGCGTTTAACACTGCGTGCACCGCTTCTGAGGGAAGCCCTGCTCTGCGTTCCAATCACTGCCATCATCACACCCAGACAGGCACGTGCTGGAAGACAGCTTAAGAATGGGCTCAATCTGTACTAAAATGAGCTCAGGCCACATACAATTTAGTTTTCACTAAACTGTTCTGAAAAGCTGTCGACTATTTTCTTTACAAGAGAGGGCATCCTCTGAGGCAGAGGTTCCTGGGCCCCCCCACGCAATCCCTGCGGTGGGCGGGAGCATCTCGGGCTGCCTCCGAGGCGAAGTGCGTCTGGGGCCCACGTGAGACAGTATGTGTCCATCTCAGTGGTTGTCCTGTCTACAGGGACACTCAGTGGCCGTCCCGTCTGCAGGGACAGAGCGCCATGACCTGTCACCAAGAGGGCAATCTGGAGAACAGGACAGGAAAGGCCACAGTTCTCCACGACCGCCAGACTTCCCGCTTGGGGTTATCACACATCTCCTGCCCACCACTTCCACGCGTGCTATGGAAGCCACACCTCCTGGTCATCAGCAGACGATGGGAAACCCACTCCTTTCCCGGCACACTGCTCTCAACAACTAAGAACAGAAAGTGCAACCCCTTGTCACAACGACACCTCTCCCATCCCCTCTGTCGCCCAAAGAGAGAGAACACGGCACCCAGAAGCGCACTGGTGTCACCGTGGAGCCCGGTAGCCCAGCAGCACTCACCTCCTTCAGGGGCTGTCCCACAGCATCTCTGACCGATGTTGATGGCCCGGCAGCGCCATTGTCCATCTGGTCCACCCGAGCCTGCAGCTTCTGAAGCAAAGTGGTCAGCTCTCGGAGATTCTCGCCATGGTGGTGGCACTGTCCAGAAAGGGAGGTCACCTGCTGCTCCATGCCACTCATCCAATGCCATGGAAAAGCCTCATTGTCACCCTGAAATGGTAAGAGAGGAATGAAACCAGGTAATCAAGTCACCATGAGCAGAGTCAGTCAAAACCTCCAAACAGTATCCTACAGCAAGACGCCAGCTCTGGGGTGCACAGCACACAAATGGAGGAATCCACAGAAACCTGGAGTATCAGGTTTGATCCTTACGTGCCTGACTATGGGTGGTTCTCATTTGCTTCTCTATACTTTCCGTACTTTGCACAGTAATGAATACTATAATGTTTTTTACATTAAAACTAACTGAATCATGAGAGTACTTTAAATGTGCATTTGAACTCTTAGAACACTTAAGGAGCTCCAAAGACTTGCTTATCTGACATTTAAAAATATTTCCTACAACAGGGCACCTGACTGCAGTGCCTGGCTTACAGCAGTGTGGACGCGTCCCTGAAGACCTCACATGTGCGGTGCCAACTGACAGGCCCCTCTACCCTCTTACCTGCAGAGGCTGGTTCAGGCGAGAAGTCGCGGGTTTAAATACATCCTGGGGGTCATCCACCCGCTGTGTTCTATGCGTGCTTGCCCAGTTCAACACAGGCAGGAACGAAAAGAAATCGCCCTGGCCCCGTAAGGAGAGACCTGCTAAAAGAGAATAACCACCACACGCACACAGGTACACCACGTTTCTCAAAACATGGACTTACACGCTCATTTTTTTCCACTAAGTTACATGTATGTGTATTGCTTAGCCCCTGGATTGACTTACCGAGTAAAAGGAGGAGTGGGACGAGCAAGACTAAAAGCTTGCAGATGTTTCGAAGGCACCTGGGGGTAAAAATGAAAACCTTTGATTTGGAAAAAATGAAAGTCAGCATTCACCAATCTGCTTTCCCCCTCTAGATAATTTTGTGCAAAATCCACCCCCAGTGTTAGAAAAGCAGTTACGGTTTTATCTACAAGGCTTGTGACGCCTACAGGAGAACCTTAGTGTACAACGGCGTCCTCGAGACCTATGGTACCAACTTTCTGGTGCTGTGGGGACGGCCTGAGCTGCCCTGAGTCTCTGCCCCTTCAGGTCACCAGTCTCCCGAGGTGACTGGCGCCACTGGGCACTGCAGCAGGGGAGGAGCCTGGACCTGGGTCCCCACCCTGCCCAGGCTCTTCCAGCTGCCTCACCTCTGCACACTTGTTTTCCTTAATGATATCTGCCTTTCTTATCTCACAGGTTGGTTTGAAAAATAAGAATATAAAGGCACTTTTGTAAAATATACAAACACTATGTGAACATAAGCGAAATCCTTATAAAATAACAAATCAAATGAGAGCCTGCGAATGGCACAAAATTGGTTCTTTAAAGCACCAAGCTGACATGATATCCATTTCCTTACCTGGTAAGAAGAAACACATTCAGCCAAGAAATCAAAGTAACAAACTGGTACCATCCAATCCCCAGCCACCAGAACACTCCGGAGGCTGCCTTCCCTACAAGAGAAAACACCAAACGTTCTAAGGAAATGTTCTCAGGAAAACCAAGCTCCTAAATGGACTGTTTCTGTGAAGGCCAAGCAAGAAGCACATGAAGATGAAGCTGGAGGTGAAGAAGTTCCATGATGCTAGTTGCCACGCGAGGCAGTAACGTGCCACGCTGATGAATACATAGGACACCATGCAGGAGAGGCGAGGCAGTAACGTGATGAACACGCAGGACAGGATGCAGGAGAGGCGAGGCAGTAACGTATCACGCTGATGAACACGCAGGACAGGATGCAGGAGAGCAAGCCCCAGATCCATGCATTCTGTGCCCTGCACAGGGCACTCAAGCAGCCGGACTCACCCCAGACCCAACCCCAGAGAAACCAAGGGCGCTCATGCAGCAAGTAGAGTCAGTTAACACTGCTACATCATGAGGAACGAGACACGTTACGCCAAGGGTCAAAGCATGAGAGCCTACATGAGATTTTTACTTGGTTAGGTAAATCATCGAGTGCAGATGCTTAGCTGCCAGAAGCTCTGGAGAGAACGCAACACAGAAACCCAAAATAGCCACCTGGAGCAACCACGGCCAGCCACAGGGCCGACCACGCCGTCCTAGACACAGCCCGGCCCGCAGCTCCGATCCTGCGCAGAGTCTGCAGCAAGAAGTAACCTGCGCAGAGAAGACGTGTAAGGCCGCAGACAGACGCCAGAGACCAGCCTCCGCACTGACGGCACCGCGGGGACGCCCACACCACACACTTCACCACAGCCCACGTCGGTGGGTCGAGTCTCCTCAAAAAATACGAAAACCAAGTAACTCTTGTAAGTGTTGGCAATACCACACTGACATTACCATAGGAAAAGCTCAGTTCTATATTTAATAGTTTTCACTCACTTCTGCCTGCAGATACTTCAGATGTAAAATGCAGATATCCCCTACGAAACCCCGGGGGCAGCGGTTGGAAGCCACCCTATAAATATTGGCCATTGGTGCCAGCACAGTTTATATTGGAAAGATAGTACCATATTTTAAAGCAGATTGAAATTCCATAGACCCCTGCAGTTCATACGCTCTAGGTGAGAAAATAATTACTCAAAGACCAAAATTCACATTATTCTAAAGGCTAATATTTTCTAGTGAAAAAGTGTTTCAGAAGGGTAACACGGCACTACCGGATGATGGAATGCACCACAATCAACTTAGTATCAAACCTCACATTACAAAAAGCAGGAAACTGCTCATGAAATCCGTTTTGTTCCAGTTTTTTTTTTTTTTTAAGAGACAGGGTTTTGCTATGTTGGCCAGGCTGGTCTTGAACTCCCGGCCTCAAGTGATCCACCCGCCTCGGCCTCCCAAAGTAAATTTTGTTCCAGATCTCATGGTGGGTGGTTCTCTCCTCACACTGACTTAACATCTGTATGTTAATTCCTGCAACTATGTAATTACAACATGGTTGGCATGCAAAGAAGTATGGCTTATGAGAATTTAACAGAAAAATCAATTGCTTTACGTTTATTAATTAGCAGATAAGACAATTATTTTTGAAACTTTTTTTTTAAGATGCCAAAAAAGGGTGTCTCTCTGCCAAGAAAGTTTTGAGCGTAGACTGGAAACAAGTAATGTGCTCATGTAAGCTTTGGGGCACAGATAGCAACCACTAAAGCGGCACAGGGCAGAGGTGCAGCCGCGGCGAGCCCCAGTTCCAGTTCCCACACAGCGGGGTGAGCAGGGACTCACCTTTTCTCAACTTTCAATCTCACCGCAAATACATTCCTTTTCAAATGTTTAACTCATCCTAAATAAATGTACAAGGAGGCCAGGTGCGGTGGTTCACACCTGTAATCCCAGAACTTTGGGAGGCCGAGGCAAGTCGATCACCTCAGGTCAGGAGTTCAAGACCAGACTGACCAACATAACGAAATCCTGTCTCTACTAAAAACACAAAAAGAATTTTTCACTCAGGAGGCTGTGGCAGAATTGTCTGAACTCAGGAGGCGGAGGCTGCAGTGAGCCGAGACTGCACCACTGCACTCCAGCCTGGGTGACAGAGTGAGACTCCATCTCCAAAAAATCAATTCACAAGGAATCTTTTCGAGAGAGATTCACCCTGTTTTAAACCAAAGTTAATACTATTCTTGTCAGTTTTTACAGCAAGACTTCAAAGCACTTGAATTCCAAGCACAAACCACACAAGGCGCAAATAGCGTGGTGATGGGGCAGGATGAGATGGAGACGCGGCGAGAGACAACCTGCACACGCCCAGATGTGCCGGAGGGTCCCTGCCCGCCTGGGCGGCCGTGGCGACTGCAAGTGGACAGCTGTGTACGCGTCGAGGTGCCTCTTGCCCTTACAGTCGTCGCCTGTGGGTGACAAGCAGTGAATGTGGCGGATTCACAAGCAAACTCTGTCCATCTCAGCTGTGCACGGCAACGGCAGTCTGAAAAACTAGGAAACTCAATTACACACAAGACAGTTAACAATCAAAGCAAATGCAATCTGGTGGCTATCAGCTTCTGTGATGGGGGCTTAAGCAGCATCTCCACCAGCCCGTCGTCATCAGTGAGGACCACCATGTCACACGGGCCGCTCATTCTCTGCTAGTGCCCAACGTGACGGCGTGTGGGGCCAACTCCACGACCGACGCTCACAGGAAAACAAAGCCATACTTACACAGCACTTCCCCATTTACACTGAGGTGGCCATCCTCTCTGAGAACCTCTCTCACATTCATTCTCCCACAGTAACTGGCATGAGCTGCAACACACGCAAAAGAGGCTTAGAGAACTCACAACGCCGAGCTCGAGCGCTCCTCGCACCCTGATGAAGTCACCATGATCAGAGAATGTGCTAGGCTAGCCACTTCCACAGAGCTCACGCAGCGGATGGCTCCTACCACGCCGGTGACAGGGCCCGGGCCACGAGAAGAGACGGGAAAGACCCCCCCACCCCCTGGCTGAATCCCGCGCGCAGTCCAAACAATACAAACATCAGCTTAAAATCGTTCTGGGCCGGGCGCAGCAGCTCACGCCTATAATCCCAGCACGTGGGAGGCTGAGGTGGGTGGATCACAAGGTCAGGAGTTCAAGACCATCTTGGTTAATATGGTGAAACCCATCTCTACTAAAAATACAAAAAATTAGCCGGGCGTGGTGGCGGGCGCCTGTAGTCCCAGCTACTCGGGAGACTGAGGCAGGAGAATCGCTTGAACCCAGGAGGCGGAGGTTGCAGTGAGCTGAGATCGCGCCATTGCATTCCAGCCTAGGCAACAAGAGTGAAACTCCGTCTCAAAAAAAAAAATTCTCAAAAAATAGGTTCTAAATACCACTCAGGTAAAGTTTTTGCTTTAAAAAGGTAATAAAAATCAAAAGTTGAGCACATTAACTTTTCATTTAAGAAATAACCTTAAAGATGTTTCAACACTGATCAGCTCTGAGAGAACCGAACTACACACAGAACAAAGGAAAAGTTCCACAAGCTCCCAGAGATGCAAGATCCAGAGGGGGAAGCCAGGAGAGGGCCAGCACCAAGACTGCAGGAGGAGGCAGTGAGGGAGGCGCCCGGCGAGGAAAAGCACAGTGCTTTCTCCACCGGGAAAGCGATTGGTGGAAGAAGGAGGGAAAAAATATTTAAATACCTTTTGATTCATGGCTTTTTGACTTAAAACTTTCGGATTCACAATCTTTTGATTCATAAATTTTCAATTTGTAATTTTCTGATTCATAATTGAGCTTCATTAAAACCACTTGAAAAAGTTGAACTAAAAATGATGAAAAAGATGACGCAGTGTATCTGGCCAGCCACAAAATCCTATTCACGTAGAAAGACGCACCGCCTATTAAAAAACCATGAACATGCGTTATTTCTTCCCATAAAGCCAACATCTACTTCCTGATAAGTCAAGTAGCCAAATTACTCATTTCAGGCACTTTTAGAATGGACACCAAAGATAATCACTTGGGGAACAGCCCAGCTGGTGGTGGACAGGGGACTCTGGAGAGGGGCTGCGGGGTAACCCCCGGGGGACCCCGGAGAGGGGGCTGCAGGGTAACCCCTGGGGAAGGCCGCCAGCTCTGCTGCCGCACTAGCAATCATCTACAGAGTCCCCGAGCCGCGGCTACTTTACTCCAATGCTGTTTACACATATACTACCACATTCAGATACTGCCAAACAGCCATTTGCTTCATGGCCTCTGACCCGCCAGCTTAAGGATGGGACACCGGAGCACCGGAATCACCTCCAGAATCACCTCCTTTGCTATTTATTATTTTTATTCTTAATTTTTTTTTTTAGAGACAGGGTCTTTCTCTGTCGCCTAGCAGTGGGATGATCATAGCCCATTGTAGCCTTGAACTCCGGGCCTAAGTGATCCTCCTGCCTCAGCCTCCTGAGTAGCTGGGAGTACAGGCACATGCCATCATGCCCAGCTAATTTGTTTCTGCTTTTTTAGAGATAGGATCTTGCTATGTTACAGCCCAAGCTGGTCCCAAACTCCAGGCCTCATGTGATCCTCCCACCTTTGCCTCCCAAAGATCTGGGATTACAGGCATAAGCCACAGTATCCAGCCTATTTTTTAATTTATTGATTTGAGACAGGTCTCACTCCTGCCCAGGCTGAAGTGCTGGGGTACGATCTCAGCTCACTGTAGCCTCAACCTCCTGGGCTCAAGCGATCCTCCTGCCTCAGCCTCCCAAGTAGCTGGGACTGCAGGCATGTGCCACCTCTCACTTCAGAAGATACAATGTGTGTTGGGTGGGGCACGGTGGCTCACGCCTGTAATCCCAGCACTTTGGGAGGCCAAGGCGGGTGAATCACGAGGTCAGGAGTTCAAGACCAGCCTGGCCAACATGGTGAAACCCCAACTCTACTAAAAATACAAAAATTAGCCGGGCGTGGTGGAATGCGCCTGTAGTCCCAGTTACTCGGGAGGCTGAGGCAGGGGAACTGATTGAAACCGGGAGGTGGAGGCTGCAGTGAGCTGAGATCACATCACTGTACTCCAGCCTGGGCAACAGAGCAAGACTCTGTCTCAAAAAAAAAAAAACCATACAAGCATCAATTAACATATAAAATGAAAAGAAAGGCTAAACTGTGCATACACCATGATGGCATTTAACGAAAAACAAAGCCAAAACTGCACGGTTCTGCAGGTGCATAAGAGAATCCCAGGACAGTCATGCAACAGGAGGCTGACTACTCCTAACCCGTACATTTTAATGGCTAATTTCATGTTATCTGAATTTTACCGCATTTTTAAAAGCGTAAGAATTCCCATTCAACTATTATCATTAGCCGTGGTTCCCCCAGGAGGAGATGGATTGGGTGGGGGGAAAGGACTTACTTTATCTGTACTACTGAAAGACTTTAGAGAGAGAATTACAATACATACATGAAAACAAAAATAAAGAAAATGTGGAGAGAAAATTTATACTTGAGGAAAGCCATATTTATTTTAAGTAAATATGATTATGCAACCAATTCACGCAATCTGACTGTAAGTACGTAGAGAGGAAATTTCTGGAAGTGTGCTTTTTTTCTGGTGTGGCAGCTTGTAGGTGATTTTTATTTTCTTCTTTGTGCCTGATTTTCCAATGTTCTTTGATAAACATATTTTACTGTAATACAGGGTGAACACTAATGTGGGCCGCACAAGTCCTGGCCTTCATCTGAGAGGGCGAGGCAGGTGTGAAGCCCAGAACCCCTGCGGGAAGGATGGGGCTTGTTTTCTCCCCCAAAACACCCAAGACCAACATCTGCGGGGAGGCGCCATGAGACCGACGTCTGCGGGCAGGTACCATGAGTTTCGGGAAGCCACAATCCACACCACACCAACGCCTTTTCCATCTAAAGACACACTCAACTGCACGGCTAAGCTTGGGCCCTGATCCCCAAAATTCTGTCAGTCATAAACACACATTTACTACAACACGCCTAGGGAGGCCTTCGGAAAACAGCAGAGTTTGGTAGCTTCTCTCAATTATCTGTGAACCTCCTTATTCTGCCATAGTAGAGTGTATGGAATGTGCTTTTATTCTAAGAAAAATGTTATGTTCAGCCTATCAATGGCATGCTTCAAAACACAGCCTCAATAAACCCTGAATACAGGGAATCCTTGTGCGTGTCGCGTAAGCTATGCGAGGGCTCACATGCAGCACCGCACAGGCCGTGGGGTGCCAAGTGCTCATGGAGGCAGGCAGTTAAGGGGGAACACCTGGGTCAGACACCTGGGCTCAGCTCCAGGCTCCCCCACCTGCCTGCGAGCCTCCTGAGCTGGCTGAGCCCCAGTTTGCTTGTCGGTAAAAAGGGGGCTGCCATGACCACCACGAACAGTGCCTGGCGCAGAGTGGGTGCTCAGTGGTGCTGGTCCACATGGAGGAACCCAAGCGGGCACCGTGCACAGTGCCGTGAGGGAAACCCATGTGCCGCCCTGCTCCCGCCACCTTTCTCGGCCCCTTTCACACTTTCTTACTGTGCGGCATTAACACTAGCAGTGTCCATAACACCACAGCAGACACAACCACAAGTGAGGGCCACGAAGACAAGTTGGTAAAAACAAGATGCTAGAACTCTTAGGGCGGAAGCCTTCATCCTGTTGCCATCCTTCATTATGTCCGGTCATTTGAATAATACTGGACGAACGTCCCACGTCCTGGGCATAGCTAGGCTTGGAGTGGATAAGACAGACCCGGCCCTGCACTCCTGAGGCTTCCAGCACCTCCAAGCACAGCAGAATGAGGGCTTCAAAGGACAAGGTGCCAAGAGCTTGACAATGAGGCAGCACCCGGCCCGGCCGAGGGTCCCAGCCTCTTCCTGCCACAGGTGAGAGAGATCCCAGGCCAGGTAATAATGAAGGGCACAGACTCCCAGCCCCTCAGGGCATTGCAGTCCTGCCTGGAAGCCGGAAAGGGGCCTGTGGCTCTGTCTCTCCTGCAGACCTGGGAGGGGGCCCCCGCAGGGACGCCCACACTCTTTCCCAGTCGCCACTGAGGGAAGCCCATGGACAGAGGTTGTCCATGTCAGGGGGTTCCCTGCAATGACTGCTGCTGTCACAGAACAAACCAGAGCCACGTGTCCTTCCCAGACCCAGATGTTCTCCGAAGGCCCCTCCATCACCATAAGCACGGGGCACCAACCATGGGCAATGGTTTCCTGACAGGAACACTGGCATAAACACTTCACAGAACCGACCAGAGCAACGTCCCAAAGCCATTCCTTCAGCACGCGTGAACATCCATGCTGCTTTATAAAAATCAGGGTGTGCATCTGAAAGTGACTGTAGTTTTAATAGTTTCATTTACATAGAAACTGTCTTTTGCTCACGTCAAGTCCAAATTTATAGAATTTCAAATACTTTTAGGTACACAATTACTAACCACATAAAACGTAAGCTGAAAGAGGACAGGCAGGATGACGCTGATTTGGGGTGTACTTCTTACACTTTCAAAGGATAATTTTAAGTCTCTAAGACAAATACTGCAGACACTGAGGCTTATAAAAAGGAAATACTAAATTTGGACAACACATCTTTTTTTGAGTTTTAAAGGACTGAGACTTACGTTTTTGATTCCTGTCCCTAGAATAAACTCTCGACACGGGCCCGGGGGCCGCGGGGTGCGCCGTGAGCACGTCCTTGCGCTCGGAGAGCATGCTGCAGTTGCTGCAGGAGAAGCCGTTGTGCGCGGTGGCAGCGGCGGCTCCCAAGTCCCCATTTCCCTGAATGGCAGCTTTATTTCCACCTAAAGTTTTCAAACAGTAGATGGTAGATGGAACCTGTTTATCACAGTCTGCAGATACTTAACTAAAACTTCTATTTTGAAAAGTGTATGAAAGTAAAAGGACGAAAATAATTACCTTTAAGATCACCATCATCGTCAAGACCTAAAAAAAAAAAACAACAAAAAAAACACACACATTTTTGCTTTTGAGCTCAACTTAACAAATAAGAACAAAACCCATTTTAAAAATGTAAAGGTTACAATGGTTAATAAATCAGCATTATGGCACTGGTCATGGTTCATTTCCTAAAATGCCTCCAGATAGATGCAGATACCATCTTCTGACTGAAGGTGAAAACTTGTCTTTGGAGAAAATACAGAGAGACGGCAGCACACACAGCACCTGGCCTAAGGAGGGAAGCAGAACATGAGGGAAGGAGGGGAATGCCCATCTTCTCACAGCCCGCTCAGTGAGGCACAAGCCTCAGCAGCAGATGCCTCTCCATTGCCTGGTAACCACTCTCACTAGTTGAGCAAAACAGAACAAACACGAATATCAAGTCTTCTCAAAATTAGCACACACGATTTCTGGAACTAATCTGGATCTTCTAATTGTCTCAAACGGGCCAACCAGAACATCAACTGAACGAAGATGAGCGGCTGGGCATCCCTTACCACGCTTCCCTCTCCTTGCACAGCCTTGGGACCCCATGCTCTCCCCAGCCAGGCTGTGGCTCCCACTGCCCAGACCCCACGTCAGCCAAGTCTGAGTGCCAGTGCCTCACCCTGCAGCATTCTCTAACAACTCTCTAACCCTGGCTGCTTCATTGCTTAGAGCTTTCTTGGAAACACACTGGTACGTTTTTGGACTTTGTTCAAACATTCTACAAAAGTAATGCATTTATAAAAACAGAGTTTTAAGATTACTACCTGCTGCTTAATCTCCCCATTACAACTAGTCACTATACGTTAGCATAACCCAATGACAACCTGACAAGGTGCACATGGAAGCAGCTTCCAAGGAGCGTCCTGATCAAATTTGAGGACAAGCCTGAAACCTAACTGATGCTCCTCCCAACCAGTCATGCAGCAAACCGACAACCTGGCCGCAGCCTCCCTCTCCCCAGCATAATCCATGCAAACCAACAACCTGGCCATAGCCTCCCTCTCCCCAGCATAATCTGAGAGACACCCCAACCGTAGGTGGGGCGATCTGCATCTCCCAGGGACTCACCCCAGAAGTGGTCCACTGTGGTCTGTTCACGAATCCAAGACTCATCCAGTACAGGAGGCTGTCGAGTCACAGCATCCTGCAGGCTGTCAGTGCCGCTGTGGCTGACGCCAAAGGACGTGACCTGCCTTGACACGTGGTTGATACTAAAAGCTGATTTGTTTGTGCTTCTGCACTGTTTCGCTGTTCTAAGAAGAAAAAAGACAGCAAGTTTATAGATCTTTTCTAGAAAACACAAAATGATTACATTTGACCAACACAAACTCTTCATCTGGGGATAAACACAGCATTTTAAGGCAAGCCCTTTTCTTATGCCTTTTCCGCTGTAATGAATCAATTGTTAATATAAAAAAGGAATTTTTAAGCTGGGATCCAAGAACTCCCTCTAAAATTGTAAACACAAAATAGTTTCCAGGTTATTTTGGGCACCATGACCCCAAAGTGGTTAAAAGCTAAAATAAACTAAAAATAAAAAAGGCCGGAAAATAAAAAAACTGTGATTTATAAATGTAATCCTCCCCTTTTCTAAAAGCGATTTCTAAGTTGCTGGTAAAGATGGAATTGTATTAAGTACAGCAAGAATAGGTGGTCACAGGCCGGGCGTGGTGGCTCACACCTGTCATCCCAGCACTTTGGGAGGCCAGGGCAGGTGGATCACCTGAGGTCCGGAGTTTAAGACCAGCCTGACCAACATGGAGAAACCCTGTCTCTACTAAAAATACAAAATTAGCTGGGCGTGGTGGCGGACGCCTGTAATCCTAGCTACTCGGGAGGCTGAGGTGGGAGAATCACTTGAACCGGGGAGGCGGAGGTTGTGGTGAGCCGAGATAGCGCCATTGCACTCCAGCCTGGGGAACAAGAGCGAAACTCGGTCTCAAAAAAAAAAAAAAAAAAAAAAAGGCAGGGCGCAGTGGCTCATGCCTGTAATCCCAGCACTTTGGGAGGCCAAGGTGGGCGGATCACAAGGTCAGGAGATTGAGACCATCCTGGCTAACAAAGTAAAACCCCATCTCTACTAAATACAAAAATTAGCTGGGTGGGGGGGGGGGTGCCTGTAATCCTGGCTACTTACGAGGCTTAGACGGAATATTTGCTTGAACCCTGGAGGCAGAGCTTGCAGTGAGCCAAGATTGCACCACTGCACTCCAGCCTGGGCGAGAGAGAGACTCCATCTCAAAAAAAAAAAAAGAAAAAAGACAAAAGAAAAAAGAATGAACTGGACATGGAGATCGTCCACAACACCATGTGTAATCTGTAAGATTCCTTCCTCCTTAAACATGTGGTAGGACAGCTGTGGCTCAACTCCCACCACAGGACCATGAGCTTCCAGACCTGAGGGCTGGCACTGCACGTGGAGTGCACCAGCGAAGAGAACCTGAAACATGAACGGCAGAACATCAATACTAAACAACCCACGTAGATTCCAGAGTTCCTTTCAGTCTTTATTTACAGCAACACTGCCACTTTATATGGCGGGTTTGTGTGTCTGTACACGCGTGTACACACATATTCTTACGCTCAAGAGACAGGGTGTGGCTTTACAGACCAAAAAGTATGGAAGCTCAGTTTTAACTGGTGTTAGAGATCAGACAGACAGCAAGAGGGCGATGCTCACCTGGCCGCTCGGTTCTTGAGGGAGACAGCACTGCTGGCACCGCCGTCGGCACCCGCAGCCTCACCATCCCCCAGGGTACATGCTGTCGTGGCCAGGCGCAAACTACGGCGGGACATCCGTGGAGAATCAAATACGGGGTCCAATTTGTGCTCGGTCTCAAAATCCAGGGCATCTGAAGAATAACTGGAACTAGAAGGAAAAAAACTAATCAGAGATAAAGCGGTGCTTATAGTCCCCATTCTGAAACAAAATGAACAAATCATAAACTGAGAGTGCAATATATTGTGGATTTTTCAAGAGCAACTATTACTGGGTGACAACCTCACTCTAATGCAAACGTATGGTGGCAGAGGTCAGCCAGCATCGGCTCCTGACATCTGCCCCAGCCACTCTCCCTTCACATCAGACGTAGGTCAGCACATTCCCAGATGCTGGGACCTAGCGTCTACAACTCACCCTAAGAACTGCTTGAGGGCATATGCCAGAGCCCTGAGCCCCCACCTACGTCCTCGCTATAAACACATCAGTGTGTGTTTCCCAGTCAACACTACGCGGACATAAGATTTAATCCAATATACCAGTGCATATAAAAAGAATCCACGCAGGAGAGGAGGCCAAGTGACCCAGTCGTCAATGCTCCCCTTCTAAATTTAGAATTTATCTAAAGGCTTGAGACAAATTTAAAATTGCTTTGAGCCTGTGACCAAAAGAAAGGCACTTCCAATACCTTCCATATAATTATTCAATTAATGTAATTAAATAAAAAGATGAGCCAGGCACGGGGTTCACGCCTGCAATCCCAGCACTTTGGGAGGCCTAGGCAAGAGGATTGCGTGAGCCTGGGAGTTTGAGGCTGCAGTGAGCTATGACTGTGCCACTGCACTCCAGCCTGGGTAGCAGAGCAAGACCTTGTCATACGTTCATGACCAACAGTAAGTTAATACGAACTGCTTCGAGTTGCCACACACAATTTAAGAAGAGGTTCTTTAATTTAGAGGCTGAGGTGGGGACAAGAGAGAGACTGCACTAAGCTATGCTGAACAGTGATGATGGGTATGAAGCTAGACAGAATTTCAGTATCATCTCAAGCAGGGTTTGTTTCTAGCAGAATATTTTACACAATTGTGATGCTAGTTTAAAAAAAACAATCTGATTTCAAATCAGAACTTGTCATGTAGATATGGACCAAGACAATTACGACTTTCAATTTATCCGTTAACCTCTTTGACTTCTACCCTCCCACCACCACACTCAGCCTCTTGATCTAATTACTGGGTTTGAAGTCGAGATGAGATCCCTGCTTTCCAACACAAACTGGGAACACTTGCTGGTTTGGGTAGAAAGGGCGCTGGTGAGGAAGCCGTGTGGAAGGACCCTCACGGCAGTGCTGTCACAGCAGCAAGACATGGGGACGCCACCCACAGAGGAACGGGCATGGGGACGCTGCCCGCAGGGGAACGGGCACGGGGATGCCACCCACAGGGGAATGGGCACGGGGACGCCGCCCGCAGGGGAACGGGTACGGGGATGACACCCACAGGGGAACGGGCACGGGGATGCCGCCCGCAGGGGAACAGGCACGGGGACGCCACCCACAGCGGAACGGGCAGGCAAACCAGGGCACATTCCAACTACACAATGCTGCAGGGCCATGAGAACACAGGGAGACCTGCACACGGTCACAGAAAGACTTCCAGGTACACTGGTCGACAAAAAAACCCTACACCATCCTATCTATGTTAGAATAAACGACAAAATACCACCACGTACCCATCCACACACAGACGTGTAAAAGCATGAGAGGATCTTCACGCTGGCTACCACAGCCAGTCAGAGCATCTTCACCCTGAGCTGTACCGCACCAGACTCCTCATCAAGGTAAGGAAGCCATGCTTAAAAGTCAGGGAGGGAAGAGACGAGGGGAAAGGAAGGAGGGCGGGAGGGACCGGGAATTCCACGGCTTTGAGTTCAAAGACTAAAATTTCAAGTCCCAACAGAAAGCAGGCACCCAAGTGAGGAAAGCTCCTGAGTCTCAGCCATTCAACCACAGCATCAGATAAGCTCAGGGTCCCTTCCAGCCTCCCTCATCCACGGCATCAGGTGAGCTCAGTGTACCTTCCAGTCCCAGCACCCACGATTCCATTAGCATCACAGCTCAGGTGCAGTTCAGGAATGTCACAAGCCACCTCTGCTCGCCAGCCTAGGCTGTCAACCCAGCCGCCATCCGTATCATGGTTCCTACAGACAGGTGTGCCCAGGGCCCTGCAGGAGGACACCAGCGTCCAGGGGAGACAGGAGGACACGGATGCTGGCACAGCACCATCCCAGGACACAACGCAGCCCAGTAGGCTACAGTATTACAGCACTTTATTACCTTTTCTACAATGTTTGGGGGAACACAAAATTTCAAATGGAGGTGTCCAGTCTAGGATTAGAGAGAATTAAGTGACAGAACAAGGAGACAGGACTGACGAAAACCCTGAAGATAACTTGGAGATCTCACCTGTAAGAACATCAAGTTTTAATGTCTTTCTCTCATTAGTTATGCACTGTTCTTTCAAAAATGTGTTATTTAGATGTACTTTGTACTTTGTTGGGCAAGTGCTGGACCCACAGCACCTGCCCAACAAAGGCACACAAGGTTAACTCAGCTCAGGTGCGCCAGACCGAAAGGTGCACAGTCCACGTGTCTGAGACTTCTGAGCTTCAGACCGCTGCCCACGGAGCGTGATGGCTGTGCCCTGACACCAACTCAAATCGCGGACCGCTGCCCGCCCTCGCTCTTCCGGCCGCAGACTCCTGCCCGCCCCCGCTCTTCAGAGCCTCTGTGACCGGGGCCTCAGCTCACAAGGGTTCCTCAGTCTGCTGTCCTGCCGCCCCAGTGGCCTGGCACTCTCCCTGCCGGGACTGGGTGGGCCCGAATGCTTTCTCTCAAGTTCCTCCATGTTGCAGGTGCGAGTGCGTCATGATCTGCGGTCGCCAGGTCCTCAGCCCATCCATGTGTTGGGGGCCATGTGTGCCCAGCCCTCAGTGGCCTTCTCAGACCCCCTCCATAGCCCCATGTCTGACGTCACCATCTCTTCCCTCCACCTCTTGGTCTCTGTCGGGAAGGCCCTACATTTTTCTTCCCAGAAAACCCAGATGCCATCAGAAAACTGCCTCCTCCTCAACCCCGCCCATCCTTTCCCTCTGCAGGGGTTAACTGTATGTGTCAACTTGACTGGGCCTTGGGCGCTCAGATATTTGCTCCAACATTATTCTGAGTGTATCTGTGAGGGTGTTTCTGGAGGACAGTAACATTCCAATCAAAATCAAAACACTGGGAAAGCAGACTGCCCTCCAATCAGCTGAAGGCCTGGACAGAACAGGAAGGCTTTAGTAAGAAGGAGCTCCTCCTGCCGGACAGCCTGGAGCTGGAACACCAGCTGCTTCCTGCCTTCAGACTCAAAACGGAACATCAGCTCTTCCAGAGTCTTGAGCCTGCCCACCTTCAAACTGAAACTATACTGTGGTTCTCCTGGGTCTCGGGCCTCTGGACTTGGCCTGGAACTTACACCATCGGCTGCTCTGAGTCTCCACTTGCCAACTCAACCTGAAGATCTTGGGCCTTGCCAGCCTCCATGAGCCAATTCCACATAATCCATCTCTTCCTATGAACGTACTCATACGTTCACTCATGTTCTACCCTGACGCACCCTTCCTGCCTGCTGCGATGGAAGAGGAATCCCGAGCCAAGCCTGCATGCTCTGGATGGAGTTTCTCCTGCCCTCCTCTCTCTGTAGGAGACCCTTCCTCGTTCTCCTATATCTTCAGCTTCTCTCTACTGGCTCCTGACCACCAGCATCTAGACACACGCTTGGCTCACCCCATGGTAAAAAACAAACAATTTCCACTCAGAGCCAGGCCTCTCCACCTCCCCCAGCAGCCGACTGGTTGTAGCCCCGGCCAGTCTCCGCTCGTTCCTTGCCTGGTGGAGGCTCTGAAGCAGCTTCCGCCAGGCCCCCCGACCTCCATGGATGAGTCACCCCATCTTCCTGACCTACAGCAGCATCTGCCCCTGCTGGCAAGTCCCCCCTTCTGGAAACTCTCTTCTTCTGGCTTCCACAACCAATACCCCCGTGAGCGGCTGGATGGTGGGACCCTCATATCTCTAGCGCCCCTGGATCTGAGCGTGGGCAGCAGCACGTCAGGTCCGAGGGCTCTGGGAAGCATCCTCTGCTGACCCTGAAGCTCAAGGCCACCATCGCCAATGGCTGGATTTTACTGCGGCTGGGTTCAGCTGCCATCATCAATCAGCCTCAGCACTATCAGAGGAGACACACTAGACAGCACAGACTCAAGATGGTGACAGGGAGCTACATCCCGTAACACCATCTGTCACAGAGTCACGCCAATAAAGAAATGAACCAAAAAATGACCGCACTTCCAGACTTAACTACCAGTTGACAAGAATTACAGATTGAGACTTAAGAGAGAAATCACCCAATGTAACATGAGGATCCTGTTTAAGGCTAATTTTAAAAAAGTTAATTGTGAAAGAGAAAATTCAAGGATCTGGGATATTGGAACACTGACTAAATACATTAAGAACCCCTTTAAATGACTGGGATGACAGTGGTATTTGGGTTATTTTAAATATATCATTATCTTTTTTTTTTTTTTTTTAAGACGGAGTCTCGCTCTGTCGCCCAGGCTGGAGAGCAGTAGCACGATCTTGGCTCACTGCAAGCTCCACCTCCCAGGTTCACGCCATTCTCCTGCCTCAGCCTCGCTAGTAGCTGGGACTAAAGGCGCCGCCACCACGCCCGGCTAATTTTTTGTATTTTTAGTAGAGAGGGGGTTTAACCATGTTAGCCAGGATGGTCTCATCTCCTGACCTCATGATCCGCCCGCCTCAGCCTCCCAAAGTGCTGGGATTACAGGCATCAGCCACCACGCCCGGCCAAATATACCATTATCTTTCAGAGACTGGCTTTAAATAATCCAGTGAAGTTCCAGGGGAACGTGGGAGGAAGTGTTCGGGCCCACCCTGTCCCAGCAGGGAGAGTGCCAGGCCACTGGTGCAGCAGGACGGCGGGCTGGAAACCCGTGAGCTGAAGCACTGGTCACAGAGGCTCCAAAGTGCTGGGTGGGGGCGGAAAACCCGTATGCATCACTGTCGAAGCCAGTCGCCGGCAAATAGGCTTGTCACTGTTCTCTCAACGTGCATATTGTCATATTTTTTTGAGACGGAGTCCCACACCATCTCCCAGGCTGAAGTGCAGTGGTGCAATCTCGGCTCACTGCAACCCCCACCTCCCAGGTTCAAGCGATTCTCCTGCCTCGGCCTCCCGAGTAGCTGGGATTATAGGCATGCGCCACCACGCCCAGCTAATTTTTGTATTTTTAGTAGACACGGAGTTTCACCACGTTAGTCAGGCTGGTCTCAAACTCCTGACCTCAAGTGATCCACCCACCTCGACCTCCCAAAGTGCTGGAATTACAGGCGTGAGCCACTGTGCCTGGCCCCCAAAAGAGAAAAAAATTTTAATTAAAGAAAGTGAGTAGCCAGGATGCTGGAAGATCTTTTCAGTGTTTACTGAAATTGCTAAGAATCAAGATGAGGGTAGTGACGGAGACAGAAAGCCATCAGGAACAGCCGCTCCACCTTCCGACTATGCAGGGAGGGCTGAAAGACAAGGAGAACTTTCAGAGAAGAGGCCAGGGCTACGAGGAGCCTAAGGAAAGGAAAAAGAGAAGAGCGTAAGGACCCAGTGTAAGGCTGGTCAGCTGAGGTGGCAAGAGTTGCGGAGGCCAGCCCAGGACCAGGTGGACCCACGCACTGATGTCCAGACCAGCCCTGAGGCCCCCGCCTCCAGTTTCCGGCTGTGCGCCACAGGCCTCGACTCATGCAAGGTGGCTGGTCCTTCCCTCTGGTCCTGATCCAGAGCTGGGCCTCCCCAAAGCACTCTGGCCATCTCCTGGACAGCCCCCGACCTCTATCCTGCAGCAACCTCAGAGAGCATCCCCCCCTTTAAAACCTTTCAGGGGTTCCCAGTGCCCGGGAGTCCAAATTCCCAGCCCAGCCTACACCACTCCGGCCAGCCCCTGCCCACCAAGAGTCCAAATTCCCAGCCCAGCCTACACCATCCGGCCAGCCCCTGCCCACCTTCCCCCTGCATTTTCCACTCCAGCTGCCACAGAGGTCTGCCCACAGGTCTCACTGAAGGAAGGCTGTGAATTTCAATGAAGTTAAGTGTTGCTCTCCCAAGGTAGAGAAACATACACAGACATTTTTAAAACTCTATTTAAAATAGGTCAGAAAAGCAACAATAAATGACCATAAATCACTGTTTCATGCTGCACGGTCTGAAGGAAGGAGCAGTCTCCCTGAGCTGGCCTACCCATTCTGTTCTAACCAACACAGGACTTTTACAAAACAGAGTGTGTTGCTATGGAAGTGTGATGTGACCTAGAATTGTGAATTAAAAACTCAATCATCAAATGTGAGATCTGACTAATGCTGGTAAGAAGTATTTTTCTTAAAATATTTTCTAATTTTCTTACAGTTTCAATTACATTTTCACTCTTTAGAAGATAAGCCACTGAGACCGGGCGTGGTGGTTCATGCCTGTAATCCCAGCACTTTGGGAGGCTGAGGCGGGCAGATCACCTGAGGTCAGGAGTTTGAGATCAGCCTGGCCAACATGGTGAAACCCCATTTCTACTAACAACAGAAAAATTAGCCGGGCATGGTGGCCGCATGTCTGTAATCCCTGCTACTCCAGAGGCTGAGGCAGGAGAACTGCTTGAATCCAGGAGGTGGATGTTGCAGTGAGCCAAGATTGCACCACTGCACTCCAGCCTGGGTGACAGGGTGAGACTCTGTCTCCAAAAAAAAAAAAAAAAAAGACAAGCCTCTGAAAAAATTACACAAGCATTTTCCTGGTGCCTTAAACATCTGCTTGGGTACACAAGTTTTTCGACCTGCTGATCAAATCCTGGCCTGTTTCGTTGTATATTTTCCCTTGGCGCTAACCCGTAATTTCATCAAACGCAAGCTTCGTTTCAGTCACCCTTTCTACCTGGTAAACTGAAAACACAAGGGGCAGGGCCAGCACCTCTTCAGACTCAAACGTCTCTCGGTTTGAGTGGATCAGAATATGAATAAAAGCAGAAAACTCAGCCTCAGACAAAAGTTGTGTTCTTGAAACCTTGAGCTTCAACACTGTTCTATGAGGCTTCCTTTCAAATGGGAAATAATTTTCCAGGTTACTTCTGTTAACTCAAAAATACCAAGTCACTGATACACATCACAAACCCCAGCCATCACCACAGAGACTTCTCCGGATCACCACCGCCTGGGTGGGGTTGAAGCCAGCACGCCATGTGTGATGACTAACCACCCAGTCACCAGGATAAACAGATTCGGAAACGCAGCTTTCAAAACCACCCTAAAGCCGTAAGATACAGTTTACCATTTTTTTTCACCTTCAAAATATAGCATGCAGTCAGCAGTACTATCGAGTTCCTGCTAAGGTCCACGCCACCGCAGCAGCGAGTGGGCATCGCAAGGCCAGGCCCCCACGTGCAGGTGCACACTCACCTGAGCGCATACGTGTAGCCTGTGTTCTCCGGCACACACTGGGGAGGACTGTACATGTGAAGCCGAGAAAAATCCATGTTCACCACTTCAAACCATACTGCAGAGGGCGGGAAAGAAATGCAGAGTGTTTAACGAGCGGGAAATCCAGGGCAGTCCTGTCTTAGTCAACCTGAGCCGCCTACATGCAACTCAACTCAGGTCACCATGAAAACTCCCAGGCAACACAGCCAGCGGCAGTGTTTTCTAAACAGAGGAGACAAGTGTTTCCATAGTCACAAGCCCAGGAACACTGCTGGCTTATCTAGTCCCCTAATATAGCCTGAGAAAAAGACCTGGGGAGCCCTGAAGTGACTGACTCATGAAAACGGGGGCACCTTCCAAGAAACACAGAGAAACTCAGAGCGCTCTTCAAGATGTTTCTAAATCCTCTGTGTCAAAATGTTTTCAGTCTTTTGAAATCAGCTTTTATTTTATTAACTAAAATAGAACTACCTGCTACTCCGTGGTCAAGCAGCAGCATACACGTTCCTAGATGGCTGAAGCTCTCACAAGCATCTCGGAATCAGAAAAGAAACTGCAGGGTGAGTAATAAAAAAGTTTAAGGCACTATTTACCTTTTTCCTCACCAAAAAACAGGTTATTTTTTAGGTTAGAAAGTGGTGAGTGTATTGTTTCTCAGGCTGTCCTCTAGATTTCTTTGGAATGACTCACACCTTCCTCTGGCTAAAAATATTCACATGCACACGCCCTGCCTTTTTAAGAAGTCTTCATAGTAGCAACGTGAGTCCTAGTTGGCTGTTGAAATATCTGAGGAAGATATAACTAAAAGAACATCCTGGACAAAACATACTTTTGTACAAATGACTGAGCTCCATATACCAAGCCGAAAGTACTTTAATTTATACTACTTTCTTTGAAATAAAGTACCACAGAAATAAAGACCACTGTTTACATGTAAAAATTGTACTACACCTATAAGTATGGACAAGCATGACGAAACTTCTGCATTTCAAAACACGTTTCAAAATTCTTCAGTTCTTTCCAGGGACACCCAGCCCAGTACTCGACCCAGAACACAGGCTCGGCAAGTACAATTCACACTTGTTTAGCATTCTATGAACTTACGCTTCAACAGCTTTTTGCAAATACAACTAACTGTGATCACTTAATCCACGTAATAGTTAATATCTGTTTAACTCTCTCTCTCCCACTTGTCTACCTACTTTAACCAACACCTAAATCTAGATTCAATCCACGTGCAGAGGAGCCCGGCACAGGAGCAGGGCCTTGGTCTGGATCCAATGTAGGCTACGCTCCCCCTACACACCATGCCTGGGCTCCTGAGGTGCACAGGTCTGGTCCGGCAGCCTCTGCAGCACCCAGCCCCACCCAGCAGCAATGCAACAATGGGCTCTGCCTGCACTGCCAAGCAACAACCCAAGGCTGGGCTCGGCGAATGCCCACTCCCGCTCCCACCCTGGGGGACACGGGGCTAACTCAGTGTTTCTACGGACGCCCACTCCTGCTCCTGCCCTGGGTGGGGGGACACTCCTGCCCTGGGTGGGGGGACACGGGGCTAACTGAGTAATGCTATGGATGCCCACTCCTGCTCAGATGTTGGGCTAATTTAGCAGTAAGTCCGTTAGGACAGCCAGGCCAGAGAAAAGGAAAGCAAGGAAGACGGGCATGGTAGGGAAAAGAGGTCACACTCCAGGTTCAGCAGGTGCTGAGGGAAGTGCAGATGTGGAGAGTCTGTGATTACAGACCCTTAATCTATCTTCATCACTCTGATTTCACTTTTATAATCACGTTAATTTTAAGTTTACGCTCCCCGGTGAAATGCATCTGTGTATAAAACGCGCGGAATCTATCACTTTCTCTATTTCCTAACACGTTGAAATGAGGAAACAGGGCACCTTACCCCCCCGATACAGTCCTAGCCTAACGACACCTGTCCAGGATCGAGGGAAGTGTCCTCGCCGTTACCTCTCAGCTGAGAAAATAACCCCACCCTGACAAGCGCCGAAGGCCAGGCTCATGCCAAGCAGAACCTTGCGAGGCAGCGGCAGCAGAGGCTGTGACAATGTGCCCCGGTGTCCCCAAGGCAGGTGCTCCGCGCTCTCCCACATGCGCCACAGGCCTGCTGCCAGGTGAGAGGCTCCCAGAGTTCTCCAACTCCCCTCCCCGCCCTGCAGTCTCATTCACCCCCTCCTTCCTCCTTCCCCCTTAACAGACCACAACATGGATCAGGAAGATTTTTAAACTTCATCCTTAGTCCTTTACGACACCAAGTATTAAATTATAGGATAAACTAAAATGAAGTCAAAAAAGGATTAAATGAAACTGCGCACCTCAGGCAATGCCTGACAGGCGACAAGCACTCAGGCATCAGCTGCGGTTATTTTGAGGAGTAAAGCGATAGGACCGATGTTTTAAACTTTAAAAAAGAACAGTTATTTTTCTTCTGGGTGTGCAATTCCTGAAACGAAAGATTTGTTCACCCTGCCCTAAATGAAAGGCAGAGGTTCACCGATGAGCCCCACAGCTGGGACTCAGCCAGCAGGCGGGAGCCCCCAGCCCTTGCAGAGCTGGCCGGCATACCTGCAGGCAAAAGCATGGTTCTGAGACCAGCTCTACTGACCGCCAAAGAGTACTCTGCGTTTTCACAATACTGTTCCCAGTCTCCATTACATCCCTGCTAATTAAAACCGAAATGTAACATGAGAGCCTTCCTATGTGAAGAGGAGGCTGCCTTGGTCGCCTGTCTGAGAGACTCAAGGGAGATGGGTTTTGTGTTTATAATCTGATCTGTAACCACACAGTAAGTGAAAAATGGACCCAGGATGTTTTCAATGGCATCAGAAGAACCTGGAAAGAATCTGAAGTTGACATTCTGCATAGAGGTGCTGTCTTCAGGCGTAACACTCCTGCCAGCATCTGTGTCTCCCTGGCTGCCCTGCCCTGAGTGTCACGCCTGGCATGGCCTTGTGAGAGTTGTGTTCTGCACAAGTGTGTGTCCCCTGGCCTGGTGGAAAGAGACAGACTAACTGGTACCCAGCTTTGTGCAGGACGCTGAGATAGGAGCTGGGTGTCAGAAAGCCCTGGGTGTGGGTTCTCAGGCTGGTTGGCTCAGCACAGTGTGCACAGAGGGGACTGTGGGAAGATCCCTGCTGGTCCTCCTATGAGATGGCTTCTGCAAGATGGATGGGTGGAGAGCCATCGACACCAGAAAGGCCCACACCTTAGGAGATGGTGGCCAGGAGTGCCTGTCACCCAGACGAAGTCTCTCCCTTTTATCTTGTGCTTGCTGGTGGCCAAGAGAGCTTACAAGTTCACAAACAGAGGAAAAGTAGAGAGAATCTGTTTAGATTGCAAACTTTGGTTTCAAACCTATGGCTTTGGTTTCTTTACAAATATATACATCCAGCCGGGCACAGTGGCTCACGCCTGTAATTCCAGCACTTTGGGAGGCAGAGGCAGGCAGATCACCTGAAGTCAGGAGTTCAAGGCCAGCGGGGTCAACATGGTGAAACCCCTCCTCCACTAAAAATGCAAAAATCAGCCGGGTGTGGTGGTACATGCTTGTAATCCCAGCTACTCGGGAGGCTGAGGCATGAGAATCACTTGAACCCAGGAGGCGCAGGTTGCAGTGAGCCAAGATTTCAGTGCATTCCAGCCTGGGCGACAAAGTGAGACTCCAACTCAAAAAAAAAAAAAAAAAAAAAAAAAACTAGGTGAGATTCTTAAGTTATACTAGGTTTCACTTTTAATACCATTTACCTTTTACAGTATATAAATTATATTATATGGTAGACATGAAAATATACAGCTCAGTTTTTCTTTCTTGAATGCTTCGGTAAAAAATGGATTTTAGATTTTTAGTCCTACTCTCCCTATCATTTGAGTCTACTATTCAGAAAGTCTGCACTAATCTAGTAATAATTCAGAGACGTGGTTGAAAAATCTTCATGTAAAGCTGAAAACGGAACAAAACTAAATGGGTCTGGCCAGGCATAGTGGCTCACGCCTATAATTCCAGCACTCTGGGAGGCCAAGGCGGGCAGGCTGATCACTTGAGGTTAGGAATTGGAGACCAGCCTGGCCAATATGGCCTGTCTCTAGCAAAACTACAAAAATTAGCCAGGCGTGGTGGCACGTATCCACAGTCCCAGCTACTTGGAAGGCTGAGGCATGAGAATCGCTTGAACCTGGGAGGCGGAAGTTGCTTGTGAGAGTTGCCACACGAGTGTGTGTCCCCTGGCCTGGTGGAAGGAGACAGACTAACTGGTACCCAGCTTTGTGCAGGACGCTGAGATAGGAGCTGGGCATCAGAAAGCCCTGGGGGTGGGTTCTCAGGCTGGCCGGCTCAGCACAGGTGTGCACAGAGGGGACTGTGCTGAGATCCGCCACTGCACTCAAGCCTGGGTGACAGAGTAAGACTCCATCTCAAAAACAAAAACAAAAAACAAACCCTGAGAGTTCTGAAATAAAATCAACACACCATCTTTTCTTAAGAAATGCTATCAGCTCTAAAGAAAACTGGGAAGGGCAAACTTTAATGCCTGCGGGCAGCACTTCCCTTCAGCCTAGGAACAGCAACTGTCAACACTGAGTTGATATTTTCTAGGAGACATAAACAATGGGATCTGCTACAGAGACACCGTTAATAGACATTAGCACAATGCTGTAGGCTGCATTTCCTGTGCCCCAGCGTTGCTCACTGACAACATGGACTGACACTGAGAGGGAGCCTAGTGAGACGCAGCGTTCCCATCAGAAACATTGCAGGTGGGGAACCTGCCCACACGGATCCTGCAAGCCCCGGTTTAAAACGGCAGCCTACCTCCTGAAACAAGTCACACGTACGACTCAAACTTGCAAAACTCTGTCAGTCTGTCACTGATCCTCGGGGGGACACACAGGACCCTCCTCCCAGAGTGCCATTTGCCACAAGCCCCACGTCCACAGGGACACCCGGAGCTGCAGCCCCCAGCCTCAGCAGGGCCTGCTAGCTGTGGACACCTGCTCCACCCGGCTGGGCGGCGATGTTTCTTTCACCAGATCCTTCCCTCAGGGACCTTCCCGAGAGACACTGAG